CCTGATTCCGTATTGGGCCCCTTGGTTCGCCTCCCTTGTATGGATGTTGGCCATAGTTCAGGTAGAACGGACTGTACCCGGTTGACTGGTGGATCTTGTCGTTGTAGGAGAATTGGGCCAAAGGGAGCCAGTCGGCCCAGTCGTCCTGTCTTTGGTATGATGAAGATCCGTAAGTACTGTTCTATCTCCTGATTGATCCGTTCCGTCTGTCCATCGGTCTGGGGGTGGAATGCCGTAGAGGGGTTTCCTTCAATGCCAAGGAGTTTCATCAGATCCTTCATGAAGTTTGAGACAAATTGTGGGCCTCGGTCGCTAATTACTTTTCGGGGGAGTCCGTGGTGTTTGAACACATAGTCCCGGAAGTGTTTCGCTGCGCCAAGCGACGAGAGCTCCACATTGGTGGGAATTGCCTCTATCTTCTTTGAGAATCTGTCGACCACTACCATGATGGCATCATATCCTTTCGACTCTGGGAGGGGCCCGATTAGGTCTACCGACACTATCTCCCATGGAAGAGAGGGGACCTCGTTTGGCTGTAGTGGCGCAGCCAGGACGGTTCGACGGGGTTTAGTCCGCTGACACGTGTTGCATCCGTCGATATAGGTTCGGATGTCTGCTTGGATTCGGGGCCACCAGTAGTTCCGAGTGATCAGTTCCTGGGTGCGATATCGACCAGGGTGTCCCGATACCGGGGAGTCGTGGTGGAATCTAATGATGTCCTCTCGGAGCCCCTTATCCTTTGGCACGTACACTCTTCCTTTGAACGTCACGAGGTGTTTGTCGGATTCAATCCAGTCTGGGTCCTTCTGCAGTAGAGCCTTGGCCACCACTTTGTCCCTTCTCTTCCAAGAGCGTTTGACCTGTTCCAAGAAGTTGGCATCTGGTCCTGAGACACCCACTTCGACCCTTCTGAAGAGTTTCTTCCTTCAAGAGGATCACATCTTCATTATCGTTAGCTCCTCGATCATGATCGGCTCGTCGCGAGAGGAGGTCAGCCTTGGTCATCTGTTTCCCAGGCTTATGATGAAGGGTGAAATGGTACTGTTGCATCTCAGTGAGCCAGCGAGCTTGGCGGCGATTCAGCTTCTGGGGTTTTCGGAAATATCCGAGATTCTTGTGATCGGAGTGGATCTCAAAGACATGCTTGGCTCCAAGAAGATACTGTCTCCAATCTGAGAGTGCGCGCATGATGGCGAGCATCTCCTTATCGTAAATCTCGTAATTCCGTTCTGTCGGGTTCAGGGCGTGGGAGATGAAGGCTACTGGTTTCCATTTCCCATCAGGCTGTTGTTGGGAGAGGACTGCTCCAGTCGCGAATTCGGATGCATCAGCCTCAACACGGAACTTCCCAGTGTCATTGGGGATAGCAAGGACGGGTGCAGAGCAGATTCGATCCTTTACTGCTTGGAAGGCTACTTCTTGTGCTTGTCCCCAAGTCCATTCCTTGTTTCCGGTCAGTTCTGTGAGTGGCCTAGCGATCTCTCCGTATCCCTTAATGAACCGTCGATAGAAGTTGGCGAACCCAAGGAACTGTTGAACTTCGCGTTTCGATCGTGGAGTAGGCCAGTCTCTGACAGCATCAACCTTAGCTGGGTCCATGCGTACTTGGTTGTGGGAGACAATGACGCCAAGATATTCCACTTCCTTGGCTTCGAAAACGCATTTCTCCGGTTTGAGGTAAAGTTTGTGCTCGGCAAACTTACTCAAAACTCTTCGGACCATTTCCCGATGTTCCTCCAATGTTTCCGTGAAGATAAGGACGTCATCCATATAGATGATGACCTTTCCAGAGTTGATTTCTTCTCGGAATATGGCGTTCATCATGGTTTGGAACGTTGCGGGAGAGTTCGTAAGTCCGAAGAACATCACCAGAGGTTCATACAGTCCCCTGTTGGTTCGGAACGCCGCTTTCCACTCGTCTCCCTCTTTGATGCGGACATTATTGAAGCCCCAACGGACATCTAGTTTGGTGAAGTACCGTGCTTTTCTGAGTTTGTCTACCAACTCTTGGATCAGTGGCAGGGGGTATCGGTTCTTCACGGTGATGTCATTAAGTCTTCTGTAGTCCTGGACTGGTCGAAGGGAGCCATCCTTCTTTTTCACAAAGAAGAACGGAGAGGCCATGGGGGATTTAGACGGACGGATCCTTCCTGACTGCAGGTTTTCCTCCAAGAAGGCATCAAGTGCTTGTTGCTCTTCTGGATTCAATGGGTAGATTTTGCAGTCCATGGTCTCTGCTCCAGGGATGAGTTCAATTGCATGGTCCCAGGGTCGCCTCGGAGGTAGTTCATCGAAGGACTGTTTTGAGAACACAAATTTGAAGTCGTGGTAATGTGACGGTACCAGTTCTTCAAATGTCTTGGCCTTTTCCTCCTTGGCTTTCCTTTCAGCAATTTTTCCGGATGTCGTCTGGAATGCTCGTAGTCGGATCTCGTGTTGGATGTCTACCACGAGAATGTGTTCCCCATCCTCAAGGTCCTCGTATTCGATTTCCTCTGATTCAGGGTCTGATCCGACAAGTGGGGTGCATTCTATAGGACACCGGTTGAACTCTATCGTACCAGCCCTCCAGTCAATAGAGGGGTTGTGCCGTTTCAGCCACTCAAACCCAATGAAGACATCCGTTTTCCCTAGTTCGGTTACTCCAAACTCCAGTCTCTCGATGTGGTCTCGGATTTTGACGTGGAGTTCAACACATTCAGAGATAGCTCCTCCTGCGTTTTCCGTACCATCGGCATTATAGACAGGGATGGGAATGGGGAGCTTCCTTGTTCGGATGTTGTTTCGTCGAACAAAGTCCCTGTCTATACAGCTTCCGGTGCAACCACTATCTAAGAGTCCAGAAGTTCGGAAACTCCGCTTGTCGTCTAGGGTGCTCATCACCATGTCTAGATCCAGCTGGTTGCCCTTATGGCCACGAATGAATCGTTTAGGTCGAGCCATCTCCTTTAGGGCTTCTACAACTGGTCCGTCCAATAGCTGTCTGAGCTGGGATATCTTTTCGTCCGTGACCTCTTGCCTTTTCTTGGGATGCACCCAAGACATCAGAATTCCTCTTGCCATCGAGGGATCTGAGTCGTCAAGTCGTTGGGCTACCCATTCTGCTGAGCCCGGTTCTACTCTCTTTCCGTAAAATCGCGCATTGTCCCTTTTCGATCGTGCATAAACATCATGTGATTCAAGTTCCGGCATATGTACATATGGGGATCGAACAAAGGTACTTCTATCGACCGGCAGGTCTGCGCTCACTCCCGGTCCGTGTAAAAATCCTCGAGTGTTTTCTTCAGCGCGGCACGTTCATCCTCCGTGAGGGTTCTGATGTCGATGGTTCTGGTGTTAACTTCTGGGTCTTGTGGGACAGTCTCGGCTAATATGTCCTTTCTGGTGACAGGTAAAGCAGAGACCCTGTCGTCGGTGCGCATCGATGTCCATAGCGTTTGGGTCAGCGGGACGAGGGGGAGGCGGAGTAGGGGTGGATTGGGCAGTGGGTCGGAAGGAAGGGAAGAAGGGCCTTGGTGGAGGAGTGCTAGTCGCCTTGGGAGCAGGTTTTTCCGTTTTGAATCTAGCCTTTTCCCGTTTACGAATTCGGTACTGGCGATCAAGGTTAGCAGCTCGCTCCATCCATCCGGCAAGGGTCGTGGGAAGGTTCTCCTGGTCATGGCACTTGTCCAATAGCCTGCCATTCAGCCCTCGCTTGTATTCCTCGATGAGTGCTACTTCGGTGTATCCAGAACGAGTCATATATGATCGGAACTCGGTGTTGTAAGCCTCACAGGAGCGATCTCCCATCTCGATGGTTTGAATGGCTAGGATCGCTTCTGCTCGGGAGTTCTGGACCTGGAAGTGGGCGAGGAAGGCCTTGGCGAAGCCCTTCCAGTCATCGTAAGCGAGGGTGTCAGCGATGATCTCGGCCCGTTGAGAATTTGCCCATGCAGATGCCATGCCGTTGGTTCCTCCTTTGATCTTGGAGAGAGCATAGGAGATTTGTCGTAATTCATCTGCTTCTCTGATGTGCTTGAAGTAGAGGACACAGGCATCGAGGAAGGCCTGGGCATCTTCCAGCTTCCCGTCGTAGGTTTCGGGTGGGTCCGGTTTGGTCTTGGGCTTGTCGGCTCGTTGGGCTAAGGCCTCAGAGACCTGGGTGTTGGCAGCAGCTGACTGGGCCAACACCTCTGAAGCTTGGGCAAGGGCTGGCTGGTAACCGGAAACGGCAGCCACCAGGTTTGCCACGCTGTCGGCAAGGCTTCCCAGGGCTTGGTACATGTAGTCCCAAGCGGAGACCTGCTGACCTTGGACCTGGGTCTGGTCAGGCTGGAGGAGTTGAGGGGCGGGTTGGCCGTCATTGGCAGGGGGTACTTGTAGGGGGGAGGGGTGGGTGGACATGGTATCGTAAAAAGAACAATGGGCTCGTGGGCAAGAGAAAGAAAAAGGTAAGGTAAGAAAAGCTAGACTATCTCCCGGTTGTCACTGTGTTAGCCACACAGAGGGGAGCTACACTACGTGCTTTGGACCTAAGTTCCGCAGCTCTCTTGGTTGCTGCCTTCCTACAGAAGGGGTGTCGCCAAGGATAACCTACTGAAAGGGGAAAGAGAAAAGGAACTATATAAGGGAGTAAGTAACGCGAGTGGGGTTGCCTTGTTAGGGCGGAGGGCGATGAGAGACTCGAGGGTGCCGGGGATAGACACAGTCGAGAAGGGGCAGTCTTTAGCTAATGTCAGCGACTAACTACTTGATCGGTCGTTCAAGCAATCAATAGCTGCACTAGAAAAGACTTGGCGAAAAACGATAGGATTCAGTGAAGACTAGAGTGTTGTAGCTAGGAATAGACCAGCTAAAGACTGAGAGTAACTACGCTTACAAGTCTACTCTATATATACTACTTGAGTTGTATGTACTTGTTTGGTCCATGGTCTGTGCGCGCGCAGTGTTTTGTTCAGCTGGCGGGGTATGGTCTCATGACTCATCACGTGTCTGAGTCACATGACATCCTATGTTACTAGCTACAAGTCTCGGCGGGAAAGGAAGGAAAGGTCTAATTCATGACAATTATACATTGCTAAGCGCTCTTCTGAATCCGTCGAATTCCACCAGACGAGCCGTGCTTTCTTCTTTTCAGCCTGCCACCCATGCGAGGACTCGTGTCCGTGACTGGCGTACTCTTCCTTCACAACAGCTGAAGCAAGATTATTAGTATACATACATAGTGAAGGATAACCGGTGAACGGCAAGAATATAACCTCCCGTTCGCGTTCATTCTCTTCAACCACACCAAAGACGTGTTTTCTCGCAGTCATTTTTTCAACACGTACCAAGGGGTCCCATCACCAAGGATTGAGCCTCTGGTATTGTCAGAACCGGCGGCTTAATTGACAGCAGAATAGGATTACTAGCAGCTAGGTCCTGATAGTCGACATCCCCACATCCCACGCCTGGAGCCTAATCCTGCACCGCCCCGGCATTACCGCACCTCAATACGAAATCTCTGTCGATATGAAGGCCCTGGTTTTCTAACCGACTTCTCCATCCAGAAAGGTCACCCACCATCCTTTCCTCCCCTTGCGAATAAAACTCGACGCCCACATACTCCAGCTGCGCCACTGCCCCTTTCCCGCTCGCCCGAAACCGTCCTTCCAAGAAGCGCATCAAGCCATCCTCCTCGAATTCATCACGGAATGGGTGGACCGTCCCAAAATCCAAGTACTTCAATCGAGGGAAGAGACACTGTGCAATCCCTTCTCCTCCAAGTTCACCTTCCTCTTCGGACGGTGAAGGTGTAAGCTTCTCCAGGATCCAGGCTGTCAAAAGTGCCGGACGCTCGGAGAGGTACCAGCATTGTCCATGATTCTCCCAGTCGAACTTCAATCGTTCGACGCGGGTCCCACTCCCACCTAGAATCTCTAAAAAATGGAGGAGTTCCACCTGATTCCGCAACAGCCCGCTCAACTCGACCTCTCTGAGGTTTCCCAGATTGTCTTTGTTTGCCCTCAGGAAAGGGAGAATGGCACTCTCCAACTCGGGACCCAGGTTGGTGTTGCGATACGCGAAACGAACGAGGGACGGGACGGAGATGGTCGTCATCCACTCGGGAGAGACCGTCAGACCGTACAAGTTGTTCGCAGTTTCGATGCGGAAGTCTTCAAGGTTCGTGAACGTCTTGGGCTTCAGATTCCCCGTGATACTACATGGCAGCGGGGTCGGAAGAGCCGGTGCAAATCGAAATGACAGAGCTCGGAGATTGGGGCACCTGGAGTGCACAAAATCGATGGATCCCGGTTCCCACCCGAGGACCTCCCCTTTCTCCGACGCCTGTAAATCGAGTTCCGTGATGCCTTCCCAGTTGATTGGGAGGTCCTGCAGTGGAGTGTCTCCGAACAGGTTCCAGAGGACGAGGGAGGTGAGCGTCGGGAGCGCGATTAAGCCGCTTTCACCCAGCAACTTCCGGCCTGGGGTGCGGCTGTAGTACGGAGGTGCGTATTCGAGTTTCTTCAACGATCGGAGGCTGTCCTTGGGGACAGAAAGCAGTTTGGACCGATAGCGCTCAGCCAGTTCCTCTGGAATGGAAAGCTGCGCCCAGTGACTCGTGAAGCAGCTTTCGCAAAGTTGATCGACAAGCTGGTGCGCTACGTGCCGCTGTGGTACAATCAGGTCACGACTATCGTCGATAATCGATATGGATATCGAGACATCGGTACCAGCAGCCAAAGTGAGCCAGTGGATAATCGCAGCTCTTTGGGCCTCCAGTTTGTCGATTCTCTGATCGATACCGTCGGCGTCAACGCGTTCGCCATAGGAGCTGACGACCAATTTGAACGAAAGACGGGACCAAAGTGTGGGTGTTGCTTCTGCCACTGTTTTCCATTGCTTCGAGACCCTGGTGAAGAGAAGTGGAGGATCGAATGGGGACATAGCGGACGGAAACCTGGGAAGGCATAGAAGGAATATCTCTCCGAGAATTTCGGGAGGAAGGCGGTCTATCATATTATTGGCTGAGGATCCGGATTGTGCAGAAGAGGCCACAGCTGCCATGAAGAGAGAATGACGTTGAAGGTTCGGACAGATGAGAGTTTGAAACAGAGATTTCAATTCCAAGGCAACCGGATGGAGCTGCCAAGCCAACAATCCAAGAAGTCGCCGCTTCAAACCCTAAAGCCGCTGGTTCGGCTGACAGTATGGGCGCCTAACATAACGTCCACGTTGAGGCTTCATGGCACTGGGGGGCTTACATTCGACCTTTCTCTACCACACCTTCCCGCCGACGGGTACCATAAGCGCCCAGCTTTCGCCGGGCTATCTCGGGATTTATGTACCATCAGATGCCATCACCAGCGGGGCCCATTTATCTTATCAGTTTGACATCTGAGCGTCATGCATGCTTCGCTCTGACGCTGTGCTCTGAACCCTCTCAGACTCTAAGTCCCTTCAAGCTTTCGAGGAGCCCATTCCACTGGCTAGACATGACTAATTCTTCCCAAGTCGCTATCTACTGCGTAATTGAGCCTTCCGGAGACCAGGGCGCTCTGCACGAACACATTCCCTGAAGACCAGTACTAGATTCGATCCAAAATCCAGCTATATGGTGTCTTCCTTCCTGAAGGTTGATAATGCAGCTGGCTGAGACCCTGAAACCCCACTTCTTCTTCCATCCTCGTCCTTCTTCAGGGACCTAGCTTGGGTTTCCGATCAAAATTGCTCTTCCAAATCCGTAGAACAATGGAATTTGTCGTCCTCTGAGATTCAAAATATGTTGTCGAGGCCGTTCAAACAGAGAGCTCCTGGACAGGCCCAACGTAATGAATCGAAAGCTTGGATTTCGATATCTCGACAGGAAGAGAACAGCGACTTCCTTATCACCTCATGTCTCTTGCTATTTCTCATGAAGACCGTCCTCGGAGGATGCAGGCGATAGGAAGGCCAAAGCATATGTCGCAATCCACCGTTTTTTGCTAGCTCGACCGTGATTGTCTTCGCGGTCGTCAAGATATCACGTCGCTACCACTGTCCGTTCCGACAAGATTCTCTTCAACTCATCTTAAACACCGTCCCACCCCCACCCCGGACGACATCAACTTCTGCTCGAACACACGGCGTTATTCATCGCATCATTCCAAAGCGATTAATTGCGGCCCTTCCAACCGAACTCGAAGCGGGAACGTGCCAACTTGACTTTATTAACGACATCAAAACCAACATCTCCTGGGTCGTACTTGCCCTTTTCGCAAGAGAACATTAGTACCTGCAAGTACAAAGCCTTGTATTTTTTTCCTTCCCCACATCTCTGACGCCGCACGCGGATGTGATAGTCACGAAAACAGGAACACCACTCCAACCGAGGTGAGCGGGTCCAAATTGAAAAAAGCGCGCCGCTGGGGTCTCACATTCCGAGGATCTTTCCCATCAGCAGAGCCCCTCTTCCTTTGTTCTACGACATTTCCTCCCCGTCCGCTACTATGCACCCGTTTGGAAGCAGAGAGTCGACTCCTGCGCTCTCGCCAGCAAGCACCTCAGACTCACTACACACTGCGTCGTCGCCGCCTTCAACGCCGCTATCGTTGCTCGCTGGGGCCGAGCTCCAATTCCGCACCTCGACCAAAGGCTTGATCATTCCCCGCCCCAACTGGACACCCATGGACCCAGCAAAGCGCAAGAAATCGCACGCAAAGCGTAAACCAGAAGGCCACATCGCTCGAAGCCGCAACGCCTTCATCCTTTTCCGCTGCGAGGTCGTCCAGCAGAAGATTTTCGAGGCCGCCGTTCGCACCAACACTGTCAATGACGTGCTCCAATATTTCACGGACAAGAACGGAAACCCGGCACCGCCGCCCAAATACAAGTTCGTCAATGGGAGGTGTATCATCGACCACAGCCAGTTATCGTGCTTCGTCTCAGGGCTCTGGAGATCGCTCGAGCCGGCCGAACGTCGTCCATGGATCGACCTCGCCGAGAGGGAACGCCAACTCCACCAACGAGAATACCCAGGGTATCGACACATAGTCGTAAATCCACGGTCAAAAAAGAGCAAACGGGGCGCTGAACGTGCGAAGGAGGCGCTGGATCGATGGTGGCCGTCGACCCGTCCCGACATCGATCGTCCAAGTTCATGCCCACCCGGGAAGGAACGCATTCCATCGTCGGTCGCGGACAGTCTGCAAGTCGGATTTGGCGGGCACCTCACCACTCGCGACGATCTCTCTGGCTTTCGGCGACCAACACGCGTTACGCTCTACCAAGCCGTCACCGAAGAAGAGCGACTTTTTGAGCCCATCCGCGCGGCTGCGGTTCTGCATCCCGACAAGAGGATCGCCATGTATAACGCCCACCGGCTGTTTGGCTATCTAGCAGATGACAAGCGTTCGAGAACTGTGGAGAAGGTGCCGTACTCGGCGAGGTTTGGGGAGGAGGTTAGAGGGCAGGGCTGGAATTCAGACTCAGAGATGGCGGATGGGGATGGAATGTCGGATTCGAGTGATGAGAATCCTGTCAGCTGGGGTGATTGGCAGGACACGTTTGGAGGGAAACCCAGATCACCAAAGGTGCGTGGTAGCTTCGTTGTCTGCTTGGTCAAGTCATACTCATCCTCGTGTTCCAGATAGTTGACATTCCGCTCGAATCACAGAGCACGCTTCCTCCCCTTCCTCAAGTACCGCCCTCATTTACGGACCGGGACACCTACGGTCAGGGTGCACCCTCGTTCAGCGTACCTTCATTCAACACATCCTCATTCGACACGCCCTCATTCGATGTCCCCTCGTTCGACCACTTTTCTTTCCAGCAAGCCGACCACGTTGCTGCACCCGCACCGGTTCAGTGGTCGCCAAATTTTTCGTTGGGCAATTTCTCGATGGGCGATTTCTCGGCGCGCAGTATGGAAGACGACATGTGGGCCCCCAATCGACGGAACTCCTTTGCCACCATGGCCATGGACTTTGCCCACACGCTCCCTGAGCTCTAGGAAACTCTTTCCATCCTCCACTACGCGCCACCCACCGTTGATTCCACCGACTTCGCCTTTGTTCCTCACGAACTTCAGACACGAACTTCACGATCCATTGTCCGAGCCACATTTTCATCAAGTTTTGTATGTATTCATATCACAGCACGTATCAGCACGGAACATATCCCAAACCCTTCGCCTTCGCATGTAGCAGAACCTTTGTCGATGACGTCTTCGCCTTTTCCCTTTGTATATTAGTCCGGAGAATAAACAAAGCTTTGAGATTCTGTGGAGGATTCGCGCCGGCGAAGAAGCTCGAGCGGTACTCTCGGGGCCGGGTTTGAGACTTGAGAACTTGCCTGGGTTGGAAGAAGTTGGTTACGGTTCTTTTTGACTAGAGATACAATTGATGGTGGACAGAAAGCGGTAAATACATCGAGCGAATACTTTGGTACACGGGACCAGCGAAAATCCAACTGGCTGTTCTCAGTCGGCGTACTGGAAGCAACTGGGCTCAGCTTCAATATCCATAATCTCGCGGACGGCGAGGGGTGGGATCAGACTGGTGTAAGGCATCATAAAGTTGAGCGTGACGTTCGTGAAGGGAGGTCGTTGAGTGGTGGGTCCGGAGATGGCGTTGAGGCGGTTGGCGAGGTCTGCGGATTGCCACTTCCACCAGATACGATCGAGGTTTCCGTGGTGGAGGTAGAAAAGAGGGTCTACAAGGGAGAGGTCAATACCGATCAATTACACCGATTGCGTGAGGGAATATCACTCACCACCAGGGCTGGAGTAAGGGTTCACCATCTCGCCACCGACTGCAGCGTGGCCTCCACCATGAATACCGAAACCGTTCACGGCTCGCCCACCATTTTCCAGCGTCGTGCGGAACGTCTCGAAGGTGGTCTGGGCGAGGGTTGCCTGGACATTAGCAGAGGTAAGACTGGACTTCATCTGGTCGCCGATGGCTCTTGTCAAGCAGTGTTCACCGACAGCGGTGCCAGGGCCAAGGTTGAGTCGCGTGGTGTTGAAGGGGCCGGTGGCGACGCAGCCTCCACCACCACCAGGGAAACCCGGGAAGCCGGGGAAACCTGGGTTTCCTGGATTAGGGCTGGGAGAAGAAGTGGCGCCGTCTCCTCCGAAACCAGTAACGGGGTCAAAAACTGGCGAGTCACGCATTCTAGAGGGTGGTGATCAGGGACACGTTGCACGGCAATGAGGGAAATGACATACCTTCCCGGGCCATCTGCGTCTCTCGACCAGTCCCAGTATCTAAAAGCAAAGGTACTTTCAGTATCTGACGGAAGCTGGAGGAAAAAACTTACGTCGCGGGGCCTTGGTAACCACATTCATCCCGCATGGCGTTGGCGTAGAGGGTGAGGAAGTGACGGTGCCATGCGAGGAAGTGACCCTGTGGTAAAAAAAAATAAGCTCCAAAGCGAGGTCAAAGGAACAAGACCCCACGTACGACTTGGTGAACCTCGTCGGTGAGATCGATGTGGCAAGCCTGGAACTCGTCGAAACGCGACACTACACCGCGGCGAGTGCTAGTCGATGGAGTGGACATCAGACATTTCACGGCACGGATGTAGTCTTGTCGTTCAGCGACGGTCAAGTCACGCCTGTAAAAGGATATCAATCAGTCATAAGAGGCAGCTACCCGCGAGCTACGGAGACCGACCATTCTTTGCGAATGCGAATGTTCGCGCATTTGGCACGCCTTTGGAAGGGCTGGGCCTCTTCCACGGGAGCGGGCGCAGCGAAGACCTGCGACAGGAAGATGCTTTGTAGAGCAACAGCAAGAACGAGGAACGAGAATCTGAGAGGAGCCATGATAAGTCGTCTGCCCTGAAAAATCGTTCAACTGTCGAGGAGTCCCTTCATATACCCCCTGGACAATTGAATTGCTTGGCTCTAGATTTTATCCGAGTATTCCAACCCACCGACCATCGCATCCTGTTTTCCTCCAATACCGGCGAGGCGCCCTATGTCGGATAAAGGTGGACTGCATTATCGGTTAGACTGGGTTGAATTGCTTCGAGCGAGATATATTGAAAGTGCGGTACCGAAGTTCGAAGGAGGAGGTGAGAATCGAAACTGCGAATTTCCGATTGGTTGGTTGCGAGAAGAAGCATTGTCGAGTACGACCGTCGCTCGCCCTCGGGACCGTGTCGTTTGAAGCGGAATCAATTGAGTTCATTTGGAAGGCTGTGGGGATGCTTCCCTTCGAGAACCTGTCTTCTATAGAGTTACTTAACCCTATGGAGGGCAATGGTGTATGGCTGCTACCCTCGATTCGAAGAACGTAACCAACGTGTCGATGTCTGCTTCAACCTTCCGAGAATGATGCAGAGTCGACCACATGCCGTTGGAGAAGCTGCGATAATAGAGACGCCATCGTTAACCTTAGATTTCGGTTAATAGTTCATGAATTGAGAACTTACGACGATCGCTGAGAAGTTGTGAATAGATAAACTGTTCTTCCAGTGGGAGGTAAATGCCTCGGGAGTTGGAATGGGTAGAGCCGATTCCTGCGGTCCCGTCAGGGTTTCAGATCCACAGCAAAGGCCGAGTGTGGGGGATGATGTTGGATGTCAAGAATAGTACAGTTGGCCGATGAAGACAAGCAAGGCCCCAAAAGGTTGGGAGGTCACGAGTAGAATCCGGATACTAGTATCCCCGTGTACAGAGCGACATAATTGTGTAAGTTATCTTTGGACCATACAGTCCTGTCGAATCGGTGGGCCCCGCTTTTAAGGCGCAGGTAGTCGGAAAGGTATAGGGCATTGGTGGAGCATGGTTTTTCACCGCGTCCGAGCACTGAAGTTACCATGATTCCGGTGTCTGGGAGATGTAGACAACCGGCCCAATTCCGAGCTGAGATGTGAAAAGGTTCAAGCGCGCGGTAGCCAGTCGAAGATTGTGAAGGGGATGCTTCAAATATAGCGAAGGCTCAAATTGACACCGCCGAGCATCGCAGGAAGAGATACTGAATCAATGGCTTGAAAGACAACATAGATGGACGCGAGAGAGACTGTAGACAGGAAAGAGAACGCCTTCGAGTTGGCGCATCACTGATCTGGACCAAACAAAGCCAAGCACTGCTCGTGATCTGAATCTAATCTTATCAGCTCACAAGCACCATGGTATTGGGTGGGTGCTTAGAAGAACTCAAGAACCCCGGGACATTCACATCTCCCGCTCTTCTCTGATTCACTCAGACATGCTCACGCTAGCACGAGGTCACTGACAAGTTCATTGCGGCTTCCGTCCGTCGGAACTTGATAGTTCTAACAGTAATCCCCGACCTCACCCCACACCCTTGACGTCCTATGGGAGGAGTAGGGCGTCTGGCACGTCGAGTGGAAGCTAGAGCTGTATAAGTGACAGTTGAAAGTGTAGATAGAAGCGTAGAAGATAGATTGTTATCCACTAGAACTCCGCAGACATCGTCTTCAGGGAGAGATAAAGTCTCGAACGTTGGGTTCCCTAGACTCTTCAACCCAATCTACACCCAGTCATGAAGCTTTTGGCCTTGGTCAACTGTGCTTTGAGTCTCTCACTTCTCCCAAGCATGGTAGCTGCACGAACCGGAAAGGTACGAGCTCGTCGAACACGGGACCCTCACATTATTGAGCTCTCACGTTCCACTCAATACAGGCTTTCCCATTTGAATATCCGAGTAGGGCTGAATGTGACCACTTTTCTAACCAGGAGCTAATAGCAGTACCCTACAGCTGGCTCCGGCATGCTCTGCGGTGGGATGACATATAGTCCCTGTCACCCCATTGTCGCGGTATCTATCGATGAGTTCGGATATGGACTATGTCGTCAGGTACGCTGTGAATTACACTCTGCCAGCTAAACTGTAGAACCTCAGACGCTGATATTATCTGCAGTGGGTCCGGATAACCGATTCGCGCAATGGTGTCTCAGAGTATGGACAAATCTATGAACAAGAGTATGATGGAAACGTCGACAATCTCTGTAAGTGTATCTTCCAAGCCTGCCCACACTTTTCTTGATTGGTTTCGAATTGAAGGGCTGTCATACTCGCTGTACTCGAAGTTCGAGTACGGCCTTATCAGGGGCTCCGCAAACAGGCAGCTCAACATCACTTGGGAGTATATGCCAGAAGGTTGGAACCCTTAAACCTGGCTTCTGGTAACCTGGTTTGCCTTCCTTTACGAAGAAGGTCTGCAGTACTGTACATATCCAACTGAGTATTCCTCTGTGAAATGAAGCAACTGCACTCTGCAACTTTGTTCGCTACGATCTTGGAACGGATATCAGTTCAGAAGGACATACAGGATTGTGGGAATCCGTTTCGGGGACACAAGTGATTCAACGTTCAGTTGGCCCTGAACGCCATCGTCGCTACTCCATACGACAACCATGGTGTTGGTAACGCTTACAGACGCTCAGAAGGCCAAATTTCTCGAAAGATACAGCCATCTTCCCAAGCCGTTCATGCCATGGCAGTTTGACGAGGTATGTACGAATGCCAGCTCGATTTAGAACATCGAGGGCTGACTGTCATTCCGTCAGTCAGACCCACGGAAACTCTCAGACTGGATTTGCGAACTCTACACATCAATAATGCCACTTCGTCACATCCCCAACCGCTTGTACCTCCGTCGCGGATACCACTTTCAGCCACCGCGGTTCGATTTTGGCTGGGCTATGGACCGTGACACAATGTATGAAGTCGCCCAACGCTGCGGCTTCACGCACTGCTTCCAAACTGTTAGGAAACCATTGCCCGATGGCCGACCACGGAAGCCAGTGCTCAATCTGGGTGCAGCGACGGACTTTTTGAAATCGGCCATCGAAAAGCAGTTCCCCGAAATCCTTCGAGATCTCAAAAACCACCCCATTCGCAGCCTTACCGGCGGTTTCAATATATTAACCCCCTCTGGTGACAACCACGGCCAATTATATTACAGACCAGAATTAGAGACACCATTCAAGAGGGCCATAATAAATTAGCTGCCTCAGAAAACCACCAGCCTTGGCGGCGGGCGCTGTCTAGATTAGGTTTGAAGCGGGAAACCTAAAATGGAATACCTCCGCCTACCCGTGAAATTGAGAATACCTGCACTGGCTGCCTATTACAGCCTTTGCGTCGTCATTACATCTGCCTTATATAGATAGAGGGTAGTAGAGGGACGTGAGAACGCGTTTTCTATCACTTGCATCGTGGTTAATGACGGAATCGGAAACTTTTTAACAATAAGCGCTCGTACATTGGCCTCGCAATGGTGTAATTGGTGCTAAATCTAATAAACGTCTTTCATATGTGGAGTTTTCTTGTTGTATGTCCCATTTCACAATACATAAGAATGAAGAGTTGCCTTTAGTCCCACGCGACTAGCTGGTAGCACAGTGTGGCCAAATTGCAATTGGCCCCCGAATCAAATCTTCGTATTGCAACACTCTCGTCGAGCGCTCCGAGCTCGTGTGGACCTTGGTCACTATGTACATTGTGCTGTGTGCTTGCATACTTGAAATCTGATTGTATCACTGAAGAGAAGAGTCTCCAGTACTCTAGAGACACACAGAATGAGCTTTCTCAGCATATGGGAATGAATGCACCATGACTTCCGATAGATTCGAGTTGGTGAGAGTGGGAAATCATGTTTGCAACAAGTGACCTATTGCCTTTCGTCTGACTTTTATTTTCCCTGAACTTACCGCCGTAACCATGGGTATCATTGGAACCATTGAATTTTTCTGGGAATTTATGTCATTTTTTTGTGATTTGTCGCCCCTGCTGGGAGAGAGGAATTGACATTTTGTCCGAGGTGGATATTTCGGGGCGACCGCGGCCCGATCAAAGATGGGCGCTTAATTCGAGCGTGCAAAAACGGTGCCACATGCTACATTCATGTTGCTACGCTGGAACACTGGGAGGCTCACCTATCACTGATTCCCCTCCGATATGTGTATGATCCTGGTTTAACCCATGAGCCGGAGAGGCGCAGGATTGAGGACTGTGTTGAGAACGGCGCCGGCGAAGGCTATTGAGAATCTAGACCATGCAAATGATGATGCAATTATCAAGCCAGCGGGGTGTCCCTCCCACCCCTGTACTGGTGTAGCAAGCGACCGAGCACACGCCCAAATCAATCCGTCTGCATTTGCAGAACGGCACAGAGGCCAAATCTAGGTAACCCCGACATCCCGCCTCACCGACAGCCCAAGGATTGCCAAGCGCGGCGCGCACCGATCTGAATTTTAAACCTGGCTGAAGTGTTAATATATTAAAACAGGCCTCTGAGTATGGTACCATAATATAATTGGCTGTGGTTGTCATTAGAGAGGCTTTATGTATTACAGGCCTGGGTACTAGTGCCATTCGCGTCGAGTATGTGCTTTCCAAGTACGAAACGACGATTCCTTGCATCGTCATCACCAACAGCTATCAGAGCGGCAATAAGAAACCGGAGAAGGAGCACATTGACAAGTTGCGAGATTACTTTGGGTTCGGGAGGAAGGAAGAGGGGAAGATTGAGCCATACGACGGACCAGATCCCTTGTGGTGGTTGGATAGCCGTTGGTGTCACTGGCAATGGTACAATTCGTGTAGGTACGAGCTTCAGGCGGGTATACGGCGGTATTCTGACGGTGCCCGGATAATCTAATTGTAAATGCGAGCCCTTCACTGTTCACCTAGTTCGCCGTGTTTGAATGAAATATATGTTGCTCTTACATATGGTCCACAGGTTCAACTTGATTTGCGTCACCTCGCTCGTCGTATTCGACTAATGCAGGGATGATCCGGACCCCAAGCCCCAATATGCCAAGACTTAGCCATGGGACTGCGAGGGTTTCATTCGGGTGCAGTAAGTAATGGATCCCTCTGCCCATCATCTTCAAATCTCAATTCCACGTCGTGAGGTTGGCCTTTGCTTCGTTCCAGATGTTGGTGCAGGATTATCGGAATGCCATTTCGCAGGATGACTTCAGGGCAACCGCGTCTACGCGCGCTGGGGCGCGGTGGAGCCAGCATAATTTCGATGAAAGCCAAGCTTTCACTCCACCCCACCGCGATACATAATGAACTCATCGACGCTCCAGCGCCCAAGGGGCCTCCAGTTGACCACTCTATAATCAACTACCTCGAGCGTCAAGGACAAGGACGCGCCGAAAATGTCTCGTGATTCCCTTTCTTTGAGGAGCACCGACTCGAACACGGTACCAAGTGTCAGTTCGCTAAGAAATCGCCTTGACGAGCATGGGCACCATCTCCCACCTTCGACAGACTCGATAGGCCCATCTACGCTGGCTCTTCTTAAAGGAGAGCGAGGAAAGAGGAAGTATCAACCGGTATGACATGAAAACGTACGTTGTTCCCGCCATCACTAAAAACCCGGGTTGGCGATATCCTTCATCGCCCCGATATATAGAGAGTTTTACTTAGATCTCAGTAGTGTCACTTCGTTCTAGGTAGCTCGACATGAAACCGGAGCGACGGGGGCCTTATCTCACCAAAAGCGAGGAGGTCAGCTTGGGATCGCCGTTAAGCGCCAAGTCGCTTTGAGATCGCGCGGTCGCCGGGCCGGTCATCACTCCGATCCGCGAGGCTCGCGCTGGCGACAGCACATCGCCGGTTGTTCACAACGTCACCGCTTCCATGTAGAGAGATCTCACTAGCTGGGCTGGGATTTTGGCTAGCCGTAGAAAAGCAACAAATTCAGCGTGTGCTATATCTAAATAACGAAAGGTGAGTCCATTACAGGTCATCATCGTCATCCTGGTACTCCCCGTCCTCCTGCCAATGGACTCGCCCCTCCTGATCATCCTCTCTACCCTTTAGTTCATCCCCAAACATTTCGAGGAACTCCTGCTCCATATACTCGTCCCAATCATCCAGGATACGGGCCATAAAGGACTCGATGTCTTCCACAGTCTCTCCTAGCTCTGGTTCGTCTTCATCGCTCTCGGTATCTTCTTCGGCATCCTCTTCTGAATCTTCCTGTGCCGCGGCGACCCTCCGCTTATCCAGGACATCTCTATCTTTAAGAAATACATTGGTAGCTTGCCGAACGTATTCATGGCCTATACCACCACCTCGGAAGCGCATGAACATGTCGCAATCGGAAAACCTGAATGCTGCGGGGTGAGTCGTAGCCCTCTCGAAAAAGAATTGACTCACAGGTTCACGTAGAGATAGTTCCAATCGAGATGATGGTCCTCAGGTCTGCGGACGACTGAGGGACCCAGGCCATTCACTCCTTGTTCGCTCTCGAAGCATGGCGAAAGGTGCACGGCTCGGATGACATCGTACGGGCTGATGAAGCCAAAGGCGCTTGAGCGATCCACAGATGCATCAATAAACCCAACTCGAGGAAGGTTCTTGACCTTCCAGCCCCAACGATGCCCGTAGTCGAACCCAAACCATCGGATCCACAAAATTTCGATATCCTTTGCAACGGGAGGGGCCGGGTCTTGGGGATTTTCGAGATAGGCGCAAACGTGGAAGATGGACACCACTCGAGCATACCAGTAGGGGTGGATTGTGGCCCTGTCATCATGCGAGAGCATCATGATATCTGCCTGACTGCTCGGGTTGATAGTGTCGATCTCGCGCCGCGTGTCGTACCTAGTGTAAGCAATGCGAACGGTTTTATGTGCGTATATCATATCCTTCTCAATGATGACCATCTGCCTCTCTCCAGCCGTCAACTCGTGCTCATCATCGGTGTAGTCTGAACCATGCAACCGATGATAGACGTGGGTTATCAGCTTCTCATAGAACCCCTGCCGAAAATGTGTTAGTCCTATATATTGAAAATTTCTCACCACTGACCTCGAACGCGGGATCGTTTTTATGCTGGGCAAGCCATCTGCTCAGAAGGCGAGGCTCTTCCTTGTCATGCGACATCTTCACTTGCTCGTCAGGACCCATCGGCTCTAGTGTGTCTTGGGACTTCTCGGCGCCAGTACCAGTACCAGTATCAAGATGCTGGAATACACGTTCCCGTTGCTCTTGTGCAGCAATTCCCCCCACAAATCGACCATCACCCTTTTGAGCACGCGAATACCACCCTTTTGAGTGTTTGTGCTCGGTTTCGCCCTGTCAATTTTTGTGAGTATGCCTGTCCAGGTCCTTAAAGTTAAAACAAAGAATCAGCTTACAATTCGCGTGGTCCAGCCGTCGCTAGATCCAAATTTCTTAATAACTTCCACATAGTGCCCCAGTGAGTGCAGTTTTGCCGTTAGTAAGCTCAGACTGCGGCGCATAGGCCCCTCGCCATCCGCCTCTTCCGCGGCAACACCTTCTCCTGCCTCCATTTGTCGTCGAACTCGAGCCGCCTTTGCTCTTGACTTGGAAGCAACCTCACTTGGAAGGTCACGGGTCTCGTACGCTTCGGTATCACGGACAAATTTTCGGAGAAGGGTGCCTAGCCGTGTGGTGGATGTATCAAGCTCAGAGAGAGTGCTCTCTGTATGGCGACGGAGTTTGGCCAGTGCTTGCCAGGTTGCGAGCTCGAAGAGAAGCTTTCGGATGAGTGTGTTGTGTTCCTCCTCGAAAAGATTTTCCAACGCTGGTATGGCGCACTAACCCAAATTAGCAGGTGACGTGGGACGCGATCCAGCAAGTTGCGGACGTACCTGGAGGATATCTTCGAAATCTCGGCCAGCCAACCGTTTCATTTCAGAGACATTGTTTGCGAAGCGCCTGATTGTCTTGCATGGGGGAATTTCACGGAACCTGGGGGATTCACGATTAACCGTGACTTATGGTATTTGTTGTTAGGAGCTCACCGCTCATTCATCATGGTTGGATATTTTCGGCCACGTGCATTAAGGATCCGTACGAGCTGAGAAAACACGGATTTGAACACGCCAACATCGAAATCATGGAGCGGATCGGGTACGAGCATATTGTAGACGTTGAATCCATGCTCTCCCAGCTTTATTGAATGTGTACTCTGGCTCAACCGTAAGTAGGGGAACAATTGAAGACGATAGAATTGAAAACTCACTCTTGTCAAAGTGAGTGAAGTATCCCGAATCTCATTCTCGACCTCCTCATTACCAAGTGCCGAGCCACTAAAAACCAAGCTCCGCGCAGCTTTAATACGGGTTTGGACATCCTTACTATCAACACGGACATTGTCCCTCCGGAAATTCCTGTCCCATGTTGTACCCAATCGGTAGATATCCTCTTTCTCCATCAGACACCGCGGGCAGGGACAACGTGCAAAATACCGTAGACATGCAATGATCAACCTATGGATGGGTCATGAATCAGGAGCAAGAGAAAACCTTTTCAAAAGATTGCTACATACCGCTCTGGATAGTCGGATGAGTGGGTAAAGATGCGAGGGAAAACAAGACGGATAACTTTGTCCCAGAACTCCCATTCAAAACCATGCACATAAGCGTACATGAATTCCGGGTCCATCAGAAGCGCCCATACAGCGTGAACAAGCTCCTTTTTCAAGAAAGCCTGATGTGCTGGTGATAGGTTGACCCCGAATGTTTCGCGGAACCAGTGGAAAATCCGATCGGAAATCTAGTACGTGTTGTTAAATTTGTGACCCCAAGAATATTGTACTAATCACCTTGGGTATATAGGCAGTGTGATAGGCAGATTTTGACGACGGTTTCGATCGAGTATATTTGGAAAGGTTACCGATATAGGTGTAGATGGGCCAAAGGGAGGCAGTCCCAAACTGTGCTAAATGAGTTGCATCGGACCAAAACATGAGGCCTAGAACCACAACTTCACGTTGGTCACCCATTTCTCGGACCTTCCTGCGGATGGTGCCATATTCACGGAGGAAACTGTCGGCGGTGTAGAGCTCATCGATCGACCTTTGCGTTGCTACGGGTTGGCTTTCAGGGGCGGAGGATGGGGTCCAGTATTCGCGATAAGGAAAAAGGTGGAATTCTTTAGCCGCCTCTTCTGAAAGTGCGCTCCTGATAACCCGCATGAGGGGACGGTAGTAGACACCCTTCACCTCGTATTTTGGAGCCTCAGCCTCGGTGCGGGCTTTGGAACGTGTTGATGGAACTGGAAGGTGAACGGAGGTTTGATTCCATCCTTCTGCAGCTGGCAATGCGAGGTTGGGATCGGATAGGAACTCGTCTAGTAATTCCGTCTCCCGACCAACACCTCGGAATTTGCTGAGCTCCTCGATCTTGAAGTGTGGGTGAAGTAGAACGTCAGTTACAAGGCTGTTGGCGTCGGCCTGACTCTTCGACCGCGATCCTGGCTTCCAAAACCAGTTCAAGAACAAGCGGACAGATTGATTTACCGGACAATCAGTGAAGTCAATCTGTGCGCCCGCCTTTAGTGTCGATGTGGGCTGGACTGTTGATCGACGATCACTTGGTGGAATGTAGGTGGGAGCACCAAAAGGATAGACGCGATGTAGCCCAAATTGATCTCTCACAGTTGTGAATGGTGCATCGGATTCGGTGTCCATGATAGGAGATTCGGGGCGGGAGGGAACCTCATCGATGTGAATATGTGGTGGTTCGTCAGGGATAGGTAGCCGAAAGCCTAATATTTCATCAAGATCCATGTCGGATAAGTCGTACACAGGCTTTCTGTTGCCTTCATTGCTGTTGGGCGCAGGACCAGAGCCTGAGGCGACCGGTACTCCGGATGTATTCATCCGTTTGAGGGGCGGGGGCTTGAAAAGGATAAATAACGTCCTTTCCGAGTGCGGGAAGAGGAGAGTACTTACAAATGGTGGCGGGCTCTGTGTATCTGCTCCTCGCTTATCGTCGCTTTCTTGTATATTTTCCATGAGCAATTGCTCACGAAACTGTTCCAGTTGCTGTGCTTTGACTGCACGTCGCGCCTTGCACTGCCGCTTGTGGCCAGCCCATCCAGCATCATCGGCAGGCCAGACAGACATACACCCTTCGCAGATGGGCATGGTTGTTGATGACAGAGTATGTATATGATTTTCTATTGTAATTTCCTTGCATTTACACGCTGAGCCTCATACGCCATTGGTGGATGCAAGGTAGAGTGTATTTGAACTCAGTTCAAGGTCCGCTCGGAGAATGGCGTGGCCCCGGAAACCGACGCGTCTGGTTGTTCCCTTTCTTTTCCTCGTCCCACCAAGATGCCACCTGTAGCCCCACGTAGTGCTGTTTCTGAGCGCTATGGACTGCCCCTTGGTGCTGACGCGTTCGACTTTCCCAACAACGAGCAGCACGTTGCGTATCTTTCGAACGATATTGAAGGGTATATGCAGTCTGGGAAGTCTAAAAGGCACGTAAAACTCGCGTTTCTCAAGTTGAAGCTACACACGCTAAAACGCTCAATAGCAATTATTTTGCCCTGCACAAGTACTGCCGTAGAGCCCGTGCATATGCCCCCATCATTGGTCTGACCGTCGACCTTGAGCGTGTCTTTGCGGCAGGTCTTGGACTTCCCAATCAAGAGCCTGGACAGCCGTACGTGACGCATACATCGACATTCTTTCCTTACCTTACAGGAATACATCTAGATTCGAGGATAAAGAAAAGCGAGGCTTTGAAAAGCTAGTCAGAATTATCCCCAATCTGCGGGGCACGATGTTGGGCCTGATTCGGACGAACGCTGGACTTTATGCGTACCTCATGCAATTGGTAAATCCCCCCTTTTTTCAGTCTTGAAAAGCGTACTGAGCATGTTTAAGCTCGTAAAAGGACGTGATAAAGGTCGTAGTGACCACCTCAAGGGCATCTGCGCCGTTATCTCCGAAATCACGGTCCCAAATCCCAAAATCGACAAGGTTGAGGGAATTTCATCAGCAACACCCAAGTCATCGTACGGCTTTAATCACCTTCATTTTGCCGCGCTCCTTTGCCCGCCACATCTCTACAACCAATACCTTGCTGGCCCCGAGTAAGTACACCCTTGTCGTTTGTTCTTTGATGCCAAATTTCTGTCAGGGAGTTCTGCGAGAAGGTCAAGAAGGGCGACATCAAGATATACGCGCGTCATCTTGCCCGGTTCCTATACCCATTCAACCACGCATACGATCCGGATGACATTGGCAACCAGCTGTGCATGAGCGAGATCATCATTCGTGTTCGCAGCCTTTTCGCTTATTTGGAAGTTTGGAACTTGATATAACTGACCATGCCAACAGGCACTGCGAATTGTTCTCACTGGCCTATCGACAGCCTATGGAGGGCCTCGACGCGGGCATACAGCATCGCTAGCGTTTGAGAATAAAATTACGTTGATTGATGCAGAGGCTGTCGCTTACACGGCTACCTTGGTATGTGGTCGAATGCTGATGTGTTCGCCTTCTGAGTCTCGTTTGCGCAGGTCCGGTCAGCAATGTCTTCCGACGCTAGCTGGAACGCGGGAGGCCAGGAAAGCTTCAACCTGTTCAATTTCCACGATTATGTCCATGGGATTCTTTCGCTGAGCGACAATTCAACCACCGAAATTCTCAAAGCCCTCACCGCGTGCGTATACAATCTTATTCTGTTTGCATGTCCCTTCTGAAACCATCTGTAGGAGTGTCCCTGCTCTGAAGCAGGGACCTAGGGGAAAGATGACGGGTTTAAGAAGATCGGAGAGCTCGGGCGAAAATCCCGTTGAGCTCATTCGACGACAACGTGCTGGATTGCGGTGTGTTCCCTCTCTGTTTGTCCCCGCATCATCCTAACAATTGTGCCCAGCGTCCCGCGTGTTGAGAACCGCTCTTCGCCAACTCTGCCTCCCCGTTTATCGTCACCCAACGCCGCACAGGATGAGAACCTCCGTCCACCAACTCCGGCTCGGTTTCGTTCGACGTCAGCAACCAATTTAGATTCCCATGCTGGGTCATCCAGCCGTATGCCCCTCTCCCCAGTGCAGCTTCAAGGCGACACTGAGGACCCTGTGATGTCCCCTGTAACTGCAAAAAGACGACGTAAAGAAAAGCGGCCTATCATCACGGTCAGTTGCTTCCATTCAATGGAGTGTCCTCTAATCCTGGTCACCTAGGACGAAACCGATTCCGAGACCGACTCGACCGAGGAGCAACAAGAGGCTTGCGATCCGTTAGGAATGGACCTTCTGGATTTGTTGCATTCACCGGAGCCAGAGCAGATCGACATTCGCCATCATATTGCGGAGGAAATGAAAGCACGCAGCATGGTCACTGCGCCTGAGAAGCTGTCGATCATCATTGACGGGGTCTTGGGTATGGTAAATGACAGATTGAAGAGTACGCCGGGCACTCCAGCTCTGACTGTTGTCGGCATTGTGCGTTGCTCTCTGCTGATACACTTTTCTCTGGGCCCTGGCTGATCCCATTCCCTTTCAGATTCTCGATGAAACTTGCGAACGAATTCGTCAGCATCGTCAGAGGTGAGTTCGTGTCATTGCTTTGCAGCTCGTAAACTGACTACAAATGTAGGATGGCGGCTGCCGACTCGTCCAAGGTCCCAACCCTCAAGTTGGTTCCAGCATGGTCTAAGGCCCCTGGCAGCGCCAACCCCTCATCATCCTCGCCGTCTCAGGTCCCGAATGCAAACCCTTCATTGTCCTCGTCGTCTCAGGTTCCAAATGCCAACACTTCATCGTCGTCTCAGGTCCCGAGCACCAGCCTGTTCTCATCGTCGTTGGCCAATCCCTTCTCCTTTTCTTCGTCTCGGGCCCCGAGTAATAGCCACCACCCATCCTCGTCATCTCAGCCCAGCCGTCTCAGTCTTTTTTCGCTTTCATCCCAGGCATCACTGTCACAGACTCCTGGACCCCCATCGATGTCCGGTAATACCCAGGCCCTTCAAGTTGAAGATCAGGCCACTCCCGCTCGACAGAAGCGCCCACGCATGGCACCTCCCACTGTCACTAGAACCGGTCTTCGACGCAAGGCAACAGAAAAACCTGTCAACTACAAGGTGTAGCCCTAGGTAAGCATCAATCCTCTAGTCTTGCTTCAAAAATCCTCACTTCGCGTCTAGTACACCTTCATTCACTCTCTACTTGCTGCTGTTTGCTGTCCATTATTGTACGTGCTTTCGTTCCTGTGATCATCGCTTTGTTATCCTGTACACACTTCTGCTTGTAAGTTGTAACATATTGTACCATTGCCTCAATACACTGTATATTCGCTTTTTTATGAATGAGCCTGCGAGTGAAACCAAGCCCTGTGTAGGAGGATGGCCTGAAAATATGAAAAAGAAAAAAAAAAAAAGGCCATCTGGTAAGGCCGCCAGGAGATCTCACAATGGCCGCGGCGGCGAGCCTGCGATCTCAAGCCGCGTGCGATCTCACTCACCGCGGCGACGCTTTGGAGACAAAGCATCTGGTGACTCTCGCACCAGCGCCGCCGCGGTTGTGTGCGCTCGCGTGCGGTGACCAGGACATTGGGCGGCTAGGGACATCGCCTGGCCACCGCTCAAATATCTCCAACAAGGTTTTTTAGTGATCGGCGCTTGTCTTGTATAGCTAGTGGCTCATGAAATGTGTTATAGGAAATGGTGGATTGCGTCGAGTACCGCCCCATTGGTGGCTGGCACGTTTGGACCCATAGCAATTCTTTTTGATGCTTGCGCTTTAGTCCAGACGTGGAGGATTGACCGTTTCACCGGAGTTAGCATTACAGACCCACGATGGCGAGTTGACCTCAGCGTCGTCCATTCCTCGACTAACCTTCGTCGAATAGGCTGGTCGCAATGAACTCGCTGTCTTGGCCCTTTCTGTCCTTGCGAGCATCCTCCTACTCCTCAACTTTGCACGGAGAGTCCCATATAGACCTGGTATTTGTGCAACCATCGCGTTATGGTGTGTGTTCTCCTCTCTCGCCCATCGTGATTTTGGCTGACCTCTTGTCAGGTATACTTCCTCCCTTCTTCTCCTCGTACCAGTCGGACTCTATCGGTCAACCCTCATCGACAAGGCTGTCCAAATACAATCTCAATCGTACTACTACGGCCTGATAGCAGGTGCCATCTACGCAACCCTGGGCACGCTCCTCGTCTATCACCTGGTCGGTTCGACAAACCTATCGACATTCGGGTGGAAGGCAAGATACGAGCCTAGTCTAGGCATGCTGACGGTGTCTCAGCGGACAATCATGGTTCAAACGACCATTTTCTCGCTGTATCTGGCGCTGGTAGCGGGGGTCTACGCCGCCCTAGAAGGATGGAACTTCCTCGACGCGATCTATTGGGCCGACAATACCCTCCTGACGATTGCCTACGGTACGGTACGTCCCTGTTCAACCCAATTTTCTTGGTATCTAATCAGGAACTATAGGAATCGACTTCGCCCCTGTTACGATGGCTGGTAAAATGATGCTGATCCCATTCTCCCTGGTTGGGTTTGTAACCCTCGGTCTGGTGATCAACAGCGTCGTAGGTGTCCTCGTCGAGCGCGGTCGCGACAAGCGTCGCTCGCGGACCCTCATGAAGAAACGTGAGCAGTGGGAGAAACAATTCGCAAAGAGAGCTCAAAAGTCGAAGGGGAAGGATGGCCAGGAAGACAAAGGTTGCAAAGGACAATGCGACAAATGGCTAGTGGATGAATTTCATCTGATGAGACACATCGAAGAGTCGTCATCCAGGACCGAGGAATACAGTTCCATTGCGGCTGCGATCTTTGCGTTTGTTGTAGTCTGGATTGGCGGATCTTTGGTATTCTGGAGAACTGAACAGGTACGTCTCTTGTTATTTCCCAACCGAGCCACGAATTGACATCGAGACTCGTAGAGCAACATCGACTGGACATACGCCAATGCATTCTATTTCTCCTACACGACGATCACCACAGTGGCGTTGGGCGACTACGTACCGACGTCATCAGCAGGAAAGCCGTTCTTCGTCTTCTGGTCGCTCCTTGCAATTCCCACTGTCACGACCCTTATCAGCAGTATCGGAGACACCATTGACTCGACGGTGGAATCGATAACGACTGGGTTCTGGAAGAGAATCGTCCTTCCCCATCCCGGCCATCGAATTGGTAGACGTACGTCACAGGCTTCTCGCTGATTGATGATCCACCATCCATGATTGCTGACAATTCCTTCGTTAGACCGAGACAAGGACACAGAAGAAGGGCCCCAGGACAAAGAAAAGGAGAAGGGTGATGATGGCTTTGACCACGCGCAAAGGGACGCCGAACAACAGGACTCGAGCGATAGTCACTCTGTTGACAGTGTCGAGCGCCAGCATCGACTTGCTCTGAAGTTGGCGAGGGAGATCATCAGGCTTGTTCACGACTTCACCAAGAACCCTTCCCATGACCATCGGTACTCCTGGGAGGAGTGGGCAGAGTGGATAGAGATTCTGGAAGGCTGCGAACTATTGGAGGAGGAAGAGGAATCTGGGCACCGACAGAACGGAAGGAATAAGCGCCGTTCAGACTCCTCATCGCAATCCTCTTCGGGAAGCTCCTCGTCGCAGCCATCTAGAAAGGTCCCGGAGGAGGAAGAGGAGGCGAGGACGTGGCTGTGGTTGAGTGACACGGGTCCCTTGTTTAGCGGAGAACCTGAACCTTTGTGGATCCTCGAGAAGTTATGCACCTTGTTGGAGGAATCGTTAAGGCGCAGAGAGTAAGGCAGTGGACCAGTTAGCTGGCTGTTCATAACATTCGACCTGCATTATGTACATATACCTTGACCTCATGGACGATCAACAAGAAGCGATGCAACTAGCGCTGTGTTGGTGTGGAGGGTGATGTGAAACAAGTGAGAGGTTGATGGTTCTACCATTCGGGTCTATCAACCGTATATCTTTCGTTGGATTGTGTGGCTGATAATCTTTCGCAAAACCGCGCTTCCCACATAATGACAAATGATTATTTCCATCGAGCATGAGCTTTCAACTTAGACGGCAAAGTGAGTTGTAACATACTTCCAATCGAGTGTCGGCGATTTCTACTGACGCTCTGATAAGCCAAGAAGGCGCTCTTAGATCCGTCTTGCTGACCTGTTTACTTTCAGGGACGCCCATAATGCATCGTCTCCACCCACAGCCTTGATCATCTCCTTGCTCAACGGTGAGTGGATACTATGGGCGGTGTCTCGTCCCTCCGTTTGGACGAGTTACCATTTTCGAAACACCATCAGATGGCAACAAAGGCTGTTCCGAGCTCGGGGTTGTCATCGAAAGTCTGCATATAAACCATCGAACTCCCATCCTTCCTTTTTCCCCATCAGCTGGTCTGTTCACCCATATTCCATTGGCCTCCGCCCTGCGCACGATTCGCTCACGACCTCCCGGAACGAATTAATAACGACTTCCTTATTTACGGCTTCACGAAGACAACGACTATCCATCCGTTTCGATTCATTCTAAACCCAAACCCACCCACCGAAAAACCAACTTTTCTTTTCGAAACAAAATGTCTTTCTACGCTGGATCTGCTGGAAGCGTCGGTAGCGTCGTGATGCAGCCCGCTCCTCAGCCCCAGCCTCAGGCCTATATGGCAGCGCCAGCTCCGGCTATGCAGCAGCCGATGATGCAGCAACAGCCCATGATGCAGATGATGCCAGCGCCCTCCATGGCGCCCACCATGCAGATGGCGCCGGCCGCTCCCCGACCTCCCCAGCCTCCTATGCAACCCGCTCCTGTGATGCAGATGATGCAGCCCACCCAAATGGCGCCGTCGGCGATGTCGTATGCCCCAGTTGCAGCGCCTCAACCAATGCAGATGGCGCCCACTGCTGTTGTTCGCCCACCAGCACCGCCCCCCGCGCCTGCACCTGCCCCGGTGTACTACCAGGTTGCACAGCCAGTCGTTTATGCTGCTGCTGCTGCACCGCGACCTGCGGTGTACAGTTACCCGGCGTATACGCAGCCGACGGTTATCATCTCATCGAGTTCGGGTAGGAGCCATCGACGTCACAGCTCGCGCTCAAGCTCACGATCCAGTTCAAGCTCCCGTTCAAGCTCCCGCTCAAGCAGGGGCTTCTTGGGTTACCTATAGGTTCTGAAGGAGATGTTTTGGAAGGTCTCCGGTTGGAAGGATCAGTCACGACGTGAAAAGAGGGGAGAAAATCCGATTATTGTTTCTTGGATATCACACTCGATCGTGCACAAAACTTGTAGTAGGCAATGGAATGTCGTCGATCGACTATACATACTCAATGACCACTTGGATTGGTTTTATTCACTCCGTATCAAATACGCATTGCTCGATTTCATGAGAGCGAAAGTGCCCAAGGAGGCGGTAAGGCGCGCGCGACGCGGTTTCAACGCGTCGATAGGGGTTCCTACATGTAACGAACAGCCTCAGGTCCTGAAGCGCGTTGGGAGAGTTCTGCTCGCTGCTTATACGTATTTTTTCTTATCTTCAAGGCTGGATATGTCGATTGGTTCATATCCAATCTTTCGCCTATATGCAAGTACTTCATTCCCTCGCCCTCTCCGTAGCGCCCTGGGAGGGCAGTGCATCAACGACCTTCCCCACCAAGCCTGGTGTCGCCGCTCAAAATGCCGTGACGTAACTCTATCAGTTTTGATCGGAAGCAAATCACTGCAAAATAGGGGCCTGGGGTATGGCCGCAAATTGGGTTCAAGAGTCACGATATCTCAGGGAAAGGCTCTGAAGTGGCTATAGACGACGATCTTCCTGTATCAGAGCGGTAAGGGTAAAGTCAAAGTGGCAATAGTATATGATACTGAGAGCAGCTACGGTTGCCACATAGGCTCATGTCGGTGCCGTTGAATATTCGGTCGAAATTGGCGGGGATTCTGCCAGTCGACAGTGAAACGATGAGCATCTAAATTTAGATTCGGATGGCGACAAAGGCTGTACTCGAGGACAGTGCAGGTTCCGTATATATTGCGTTAATACCCAATCTTTCCTTTCCTCTCCATCAGGCTGGCCTGTTCACCCACTTCCATTAGCCCTTCCCTACACGCTAATCGTTCACGATTTCCATAGACGACCAGATAACGACTACGAAGTAACTCATACACCCCGAACCCAGCTCCAGCACAGGAAACATCAAGCTCTAAACAAATGTCTTTCTACGCAGGATCTGCAGGCAGTGTCGGTAGCGTTGTGATGCAGCCTGCTCCCCAGCCGCAAGCATACACGATGGCTGTTCCAATGATGGCACAACCCATGGCCCAACAGCCTATGGCGCCGACACAAGTGATGCCGACAGCGCCTATCATGGCGCCCGCCATGCAGCCCACCATGCCAATGGCACCCGCACCTGCACCCACGATGCAAGCGATGCAACCCGTCCAGATGGCTCCATCAGCATATGCTTATGCGCCTGTGGCGGCACCTCAGCCAATGCAGATGGCTCCTGCTCCCGCTCCCGCTCCCGCCCCCGCCCCGGTGTACTACCAGGCTGTGCAGCCGATGATGTACGCCGCTGCTCCTCGACCAGCGGTGTACTCTTATCCGATTTACACCCAACCTACCATTATCGTCGCAGGGTCAGATAGAAGCCATCGACACCGCTCACGGTCTGGCTCGAGCAGAGGGTTTCTCAGTGGCTTGTAGAGAGAATGACGGATGCAGACAGTCGGAGAGTTCGGGGGGAAGGAGGGGAGACGATCGGGTTGCAGTTCTCGGATTTCGGTTCCATCGAGCGCTATCCAATAGGAGGAAGTGACGTCGTAGATCGACTCAATAAATCAAACCAAACGAAATTATACGGTGTGGCTGCTTAGCTAAATTGTCAGTTGGGGATGAGGACTGGTTTAATCGAAGATTATGAGAGTCCTTGAGGTCAGGTTCGTGGTAACTCAAGTGAGGTGGGTTGTTGGGGTTTCGCTCAAGTTAAGTTCGTAAAATTAGACCAAGTTTCGTATATTTCGCTTTCAATATTCGCCGCAGTCCATTTACAGCAGAAATAGTAATCTTGTCGGAGTATGGAATGGATTCTACACCATTCTGTTGTCGCCTAGAAGTAAGTGATATCCCAGTGCGATCCTTCGTCCTAGGATCAACGGTGAGCTCCTTGTACGTTTCTTTGAATCCCTGAAAATGCACTTACGCAGTAAATGTTTCCGCTTGCCGCTCGCCATTGAGGATAACCATCGCCACGATTAGCAATCTTGGTGAATGCGGTCTTGATGTAATTGTCGAGTTGGGTAGAGTGGCGGACATCGACCTTGTAGCCATTACCATGGGTGTATGTTCCCCCAGTGGCATGACCGGTCTCGGTACCACCAGTGATGACGAGAGACGATACGCCGGCTGCGTTCTTCAAAGTGATCACTCCGTCGACGGTACCGGAAAGGATACCCTGGTACGAGGTGCACCTAGGGTTGTTTCTAGATTGAAAGGATTGATTAGGATAGTGGGAAGACATGTTGTCCGATGAACGTATACCTGTCGGTGCAGCCGCCAGACGAGGAGGCAGTGATTCCGTTGGGAATGAGCCTAGCCTCAGCTTGAGCTTGGGTGAGTGGGGTACCGCCAGCATTCGCGACGGCGATGAGGGTACAGAAGAGAGTAGCAACAATCAGCTGTGGAATGTGTTTACTTGAGACTCATGGTAACGTCTAGTTAAACGCGGCGACAATACCTTCATCTTGACGTCGTCTGGGAGTATGAGTGAACAAGAGTAATGGATTGCGTGTCATTCCAAAGCCTGCTTTATAGGAATGCCTACCCCAAGCCCCGCAGCTAGAGCACATGGAGTATCTAGGAAGTCTGTCAACGAACTCCCTTCGCATATGCTTCTGGTGGGGTCGGCGCATGGAGTCCCCCACTGATCGCCATCTTCCAAAATTAGTCTTCGATTGTCCGCTTTTGTTGTTGCCAACAATAACCTAAGACATGAACGTAAAGGAGATCCTTGGACAGATTCCTGGATCTCAGGCTTTTCGTGCATGGTGAAATGTCCCTCGTACCACTCCCAGGCTTTTTCATCTCAGGCTCCTGCTCTCTGAATATAGCGCATGCGAAAGGGTCTCCACCTGCCAGTGGTAATGATGGCGACGGTCTGTCTTCTACGTGGACCTATCAGATAAGGATAAGTCGTTCGTCGCTTCCTCGCTGCCAAACCACACCCATAGATTCTCAAATCCATGTGCACCTCAGTGGTTGTCTCCTTACTCCAACTCCACTCATTCCACACCTACATACCTGGAGGTCAGGTGTTGTGCAAGCTTTCGCAAGGCCATAGGATGGCAGCAGCTCCAGGATATCGCAATGTGTAATCGATTTCTTTTTCTGTCACCATACCCCCTCTCGCGGCTCGCCGAGTTCTTGCCGGAGAATGACCTGGGTAAGAAGAAGCGACTAGCGAATACCTCGATGTGATATACATCCGAGAGATTCTGATTCTCGTCTCTCCCCATCAAGATAGCCGCATTGTAAAGCTTCTCAGAAGAGCGGGAGAACTCGAAGCCGAGTTGAAGGTGAGTCTCAATCATTTACTCAGCCCTCGAGGCTGCGTTGTTCGCTTTAGAACTGTGAATTTGTGGGTGATTGAGTATAAGTACACATGTTAGATGGTCAAGACGAATGGCGGGTCCCAAGTAAGAAACAATGGATAAGGCAAATGGAATAACATCATGTAGGCTGATATGGTTCCCTTCGGTTGATTCTCTATCGAACAAGGCGGTCCAAGCCTTCGGGCACCTATGGGCAAAGTTATCACACATTCAGCACGGGGATGAATTCGATCAATTAAATAAGATTACCTTCCAATGATGAGTCGCTGCGGCACGTTTGAATCCTTCGAGCGCTTCGTGAACACCATAGTGTCTAAAGAAAACCATTCAATAAGAACAATCGGCATTTCGAAAGCGTTCCTGCGACAGGGAGGGAGAGGTAAAGAACTTACTGGTCCCAATTTGGTGCGAGACGGGCAGGCCGAGGCTCTAGGTTGGAAATTGCGAGCTTGATTTGAAGCAGGATCGAGGGAATGCTACGGAAAGCGATGATTAGCGATCGTTCGACTGTACGAACCTGCTACTGCGGATGCTTACTTGTAGCTGGGGAGCCAACCTACAGCAACGAGGATCCAAATAAGCCTATCAACATTACGACGATGAATTAACCAGCGTACCGTCGGCAGTCAACAGGTCCATGCAAATCGATCCTCCTAACCATTGGACAGAATGGTTAACAACGGTCTCTGCACCCCTGGTCATGATGCAAACGTACCTCCAGTGACGTGCCCACCACCGCCATGAATGAACGGCAGGAAACGAGGAGTGATCACCCTAAAGAATGGTGGTGCGACCGGGAACTGTGGAGGGAAACGAATCTCGAAAACGACCGAATTGATATTCCTAAGAAAATCGAATCAGCCAAATCACCGATAGACTTCAAGTTGACGGGAAGCTCGTACTTCGCTTTCAAGTCCTTAGCGATGGGAATATCAGGGTCGAACGAATGAAGTTCAACGATCCACTGGTAGAGGTTATCGCCGATAAACTCTTCGGGGAGGTACCAACCAAGTTCCTTTAAGCTCCTGGCGTTCTCCTGCTCCTTCAACATTGCTCTTAGCTCCCGCTGAAGCGTGCTGGTCGCAGAGGTAGTCGCTTCGAACGGTGGAAGCATGAGCCTCTCCACAGCGCTGTGGACGTAAACCGGATCGTGTTTCCAGTCATCCACGGGACGTTGGGGGACGACCTTCGGAGGCTTTGGGGCGGGTGCTGCAATCTTGTAGTCGTCGTCGTCGTCCAGGTGCATATGGTAATCCTCGTCGTATCTGGACTGAGAGCCAGAACCTTTCACACCATTGGTAGTTGGTTCAGCGGCTGAGAAGATCTCCATATCCTCCGAGTCTGGGTCCTCTTGGACGACCTCGGATCGTCGGATCGTCAAAACGTTCTCCACCTGGCGACTGGGATCCGGGATTTGTATCTCCTTCTGGTTCAATGTGGGCTTGTGTGCTGGGTCCATGGGGACGTATGGTACGGTAGAAGTTGTTTTGGCAAGCAATGTTGGTTCAGGCGAAGCTCCCTTGACGAGGAGGTACCGACTATTGGAGGGACTTTCAGCCGCCGACTCTACATGGGTATTGAGAGAGGCTTACCAAACGATCCATGTGGTATCAGCGATCACGAACCAGGGGTTATTCGAGACAAATTTGTGCGGAAGGTTCACAATTTCAGCTAGAGCGACGCAGTTGCTTGCACTCGTTACACTCCTCTTCCACGTTATGCGACCAGCCATTGCATATGAGCCCATCGACACGTTTCCGTCTTTCGCGAGGTAGACCCCTGGCAAATGACAGCGTTAGTCGTAAGGTCTAGATAGACGACAATTGGCGACTCGCCGTTTCCGTAGGCCCTCCCATGGGCAATTTCCTTGTACCAAAGGCCATGCCGAATAATCTACGCAATTATCAGAAGCCACTCGATTCGAGAGGGACGTGTAAACTCACTGAATGCCAATTCCTAAGAGGTGAGCCATGGAAAGCCTAGAAAACTATCCGTGAGGCCCATGGGGTGTAGTAGGACTACGGAGGCGTACATAGAGGGCAGGATACTCCCTGGCGTTGGCGTTCTCTTTAGCGGCAGCTTCAACAGCGGACTTGAACTTGGCTTCAGCGTCCGGCGCTCCGACGGTCAGTCTGAATTGGCGCCAGTTGGGGTCTATACAAGCCGAGGTGTTTAGCTCCAGAGGTGCGGACAACAGTCGAAACTCTCACCTAGGTTTTTGATTTCGTCTTCTTCGGAGGTGATTTCTTCGATGGACGCCGTACACGAACCAACAATCCTAGCAGAAAGCACCGGATTGTTAGAAAGAAGGGCATTTTGCAGAGGTTCAATCACGAAGAAACACACCAGCGAAGAATAAGCCAGGCGGCGGGAAGAACTTCGGGGTCAATGTCATAAAGTTTGGGCTTAGACTTTCCAATGTTGACTTTACGAGTCAAATGCTTCTTCATTTCATCAATCTGCGACGGACCTCGTTTGATGTGTTAACGTCCAGAAAGCAATAGGGGTTGACGTACGGAAGGCAGAGAATCGATCAGCTTAGCAATAACAGCTCGCATCTATTCGATATACTGTATCAGAATCAGCGTGCTCGAGGGAGGAATTGATCGCGATGAATCGCACGCACTTCAGGTTTAGTGAGATTGTCAAAGTCGCAGAGTTCACCACTGTCCGGAGTAGACGAGATCTGCGGGTCCGAAGTGGCGCTTGATGGAGCAGCGACAGGTTGCGGCATGAAGCCCACGTGCGCACGGGGCGCTTGCGCAACATACATCCCCAAAGGCAAGGCACCTGGATGAGGAACACGTAGCGCTAGTCCCACGGGGAGAGGGTCATCCATTGTCCCTTCGACAGCCGACACATATGCGAGAGACACGAGGAGATCGACAGTGTTCGGGTTGTGGATAATCTCGTACTGAATCACAAAGTCAGCATTCCGGCGGACGGGAGGTGAGAACGGACACCAACCTCAAGTGAAGGGCCTCGGCCCATTGCATAGTATTGGAATGAACATAGTTTGTTGCCGCATACGTAGGGCTTCAGGACTTCGAAGTCCACCTCTAGTTTGTTGTGGCACACAACGCAGTACTTGGTGCAGAGCTAACACGATCCAAAGTTACTATGGGGAGACGCAAGAATGCCTGGACTACGTACCGAAAGGCGCCTGATCAGATAACAGAAGGCAGTCAAGGGAAGATTGATGGGCTCGTCTCTGCCCAAGGCTTTCAAGGGGTCATCAGGCAAGGTCGTGCCCAACCTGGAGAGGGTCTCTTCCGCTGCATCAGCCTCCTTTATTTTCTTTTATTCTTGGTCAGTTGGAGGAACGCTCACAGTAGGGAACACCCACCTCCTCAAGCGACCCGTAGACTTCTTCGGCGGTTCTCTGAGACTTTTCGATAGTAGACAATAGCAGTTCGGCACCAGCCCAACCGAGACCAAACTGTCGTCTCAGCTGAACGAGGCGAAGGAACTGCTGCTCAAGCAGCGTCTCGAGCGAGCTGGTCAGACTGAATCGATCAAACCGCCCCGGGTCCTCCGGTTCCTCGGGCACCTCTGGGACAACTTCTACCGGGTCCTCCATCCAATCATGCTCGTCCTCGCCGTCCCAGAACTGCACAGCCTGCTCCTGTACGGCTTTCTCGGCCTGAAGCCTCAGCTCGTCCTCCGCATCGTTGATGATCAAACCGTGTTTCCGGACCGCTTCTTGCGCCTGCTCCTTTCCAGGTTTGTAGCTCTGGCTGAGACCGACCTTGAACGCTAGAGAGACAGCAAGTTTGGTTGCAGAGTCGGTGTAAGAGCCGTCGTTCTGAATGACTGGGTAGAGCCCCCGGAAACCAGAAATAAGGAGCGTGAGATGTTGGTATCGAGACAAAAGACGTCGGTCCCATGCCATCAAGGCACGCGGCGGGATGGCGTTTGCCAATGAAATGACCGGGATGGAGACAGAAACAATAAAGTCATTTCCGCCAGCAGTTCTGATGATACCTGGCTTGTAAGAAGACGCCACGACATTTAAGAAATCCCTACAAAATCATGTTAACAGATAACCAGGATCGATCTAAGGGACTCACTTTTGGAGGCGATGAAGAATAGTGTTAGGCTCGACCGTGATCGCGTCGAGGTCGATGTCATCATCGTAGTCGAACACCTCGTCTTCATCCTCTGTCCCATCTTCGGAGTCTGAGTCCACTTCAATGGGCTGTGACGAACTGCCCCCAACCAGCTTGGCCAGAGAAGAGCAAAACCAATCCAACAGGTCTTTGAGGGCACGCGGGCGCTGATCCATCATATCTGCCAACAACGACTGGACGGTGTCTGGGACATCTTCGTCGTCCGTGTGGCAAAAGAACTGGTGGCTCTTGGGGTATTCCGACGTGTCTGTAGGCGAGTACATATCGAGAAAGACACCTAAACATTCAGAAAGCGTACCTGTAGCCGTAAAAGTCACCGACAACACTCGATTGCCATCGTTATCGTCGATGACGACCTCGAAAGAACCCTCATCGTCGCCAGCCCTGACCCCTGTACACAAAGGTAAAACACAACGAGTAGGAAACACTGTTCCGAGAACCCACTCTTTACAGTCAATCGTTGTACTGCATATCCCTGTTGACAGAAGACCTTCACGTCCTCCAAATCCGCGTTAAACCGTCTTCTCCCTTTGAGGTGGCTGTTTTTGTGGGGGTCGTAGTCCATCGTCGTCGTTGAAAGAGAAGAAGGTCCTACACCCCGCTGTGGATATCAATCACACTATGCCGCAGCAGAAGAACACAATGATGGGTTCGAACACGTTCCTGGACCCTGCACGCACCGTGTTCGCGTTTCTGCCGTTTTGCTGCCGCTGCTGTGGACTCCAAAGCTGTTAACGATTCAGATTGTGTTTTAATGAACAGTTTCGTGCACGCTCACTCTCGCTCGTTCTTTCTCGAGTCAATTGGGCCATATCGTCGGGTAGTGGGCGCCTTTCTGGCGAGGAAAGTATGGAGATGGTCGTGGCTATGAGTCAAGAAAGGACAGGCGCCCATCGGTTACCCCTATTCTTGGCTTTGATGGTTAGTTATGGGCAGGGCCAGAGAAATTGGTCCCAAAGTTGAGTCGCGTCGGGAGGCAAAGGCGTTAAATAGAAGCAAGGACAAACAGAGCACAACAACTTGTTCGACGAGAGAATGACAAGACAAGGACAATAAACTATAAACTATGTGCATACATAGTGTTTCGTATTCGAAGGCTAAACGAATGACTGATAGAACTCTCACAATTTACTCATAACTTGTGAGTTGGAGCACCTCGTCTCTGCGATCGCTAGCTCCCGGAGTTCCCGTCGAAGTACCTTTCCTGTGGGACTGGAGCATCTGAACTTCAGCCACCATGGATGTAACTCCAAACCATGAGTCTCACCTTTTAGGAATGGTATTGACGGCGACTACACCTAAACATGGCATCAGTTATCCAAACCCGTACCGGAGAAGGGAGTAATACGATACGGTACCTCCTCTGAGTTCTTTGTAGCGAGCAACACGCCCCTTTATCCAACTTTGGACATGAATCTGGAAATTGGCCAGCCTAGATGAAGAGTCGAGTATCGTTCTGTCTGTCGGAACAACGTAGGCACTGCACCGTTTTGTTAATTCAGCTGACGGCCTTTCCTTACAAGGAAGATGATCTCACCGAGGGAGTTCATTGCCAGAGTAGTCATCAGGAACACCTATTACACCGACGTCTGCCACATCAGAGCATTCGGACAACACCGCTTCCAATTCTGCTGGTGCAACTGTAACATACTCATGGTAAGATTTTCCCTTGCAAAGCAGGTGCGAGCGTCATCATCACCTTGAAGGCCCTGTTAAAATGATCAGCACATTGTCCAATCAGAAAGTATCTGCATACCTTGTACTTGATCATTTCCTTCTTTCGGTCAATCACATAGAAAAATCCGTCTTCGTCCCGACGAAGTATGTCTCCCGTCTTGTACCAGCCATCGTGGAATGACTCCTTCGTAGCGGTCTCATTGCGGAGATAACCCTGAAAGTAATCGCCTCAGCACCGTTATTCCAAACCTCTCCGCGCGCTTACCTTCATGACGGTAGGCCCCCTAATCCACAGTTCACCGGGCTCTCCAGGTTCAGCGTCAACGACTACATCGGCATTAGCAATCTCTTTGATTATGCGAGCTTCGATATTGGGCGCCAATACTCCAGCGCTACCCAGTTTAGACCGCCAAGACTTTGGGGGAGTGAGAATGGCAGTGAGTGTTGTCTCCGTGGAGCCGTATCCTAGCGGTGAACGATAAGTGAATATGTGAGGTTTACATTGAAGGAGATTTGCTAACCGTTAATAATCACTGGTCGTGATCCCTGGCGCGCTAATTTGCTTGTAAGGTCCGTCACGAGCGCCGATGACAACGGTGCTCCCCCTGAAATCAGAGCAGTCAAGCTCTTCATATCAAATTTCTCTATTCCTAAGCCAATGTCAGCGTAAGGTCCGGGGCGCCCATTAAAAGTTAGGGCCTACCAGGATATTGGCTCAAGGATAGCATTATAGGTGGGGCCACCATCACCCATCAGCGAAACCGACTTACCGTTGCCAGGCCTGGAGGTCAGATGGGCATCGGACCGATGCATGGGAAGTAGGCCCATGCATTGGTGCTCGCACCCACGCGTGGTCATCTGCGAGCAAACCTCCCCATGTAATGCCCATGCACCCCGCCCAACGCCCATGCACCCGCCCAATGCCCATGTAACGCCGAAATTTCCATTGATATTCCATACTCTGCCCATGTAACCCAGCTTGTACTGTGTTGTAGGGTGTCGAGGATGTCTTTAGGCGCTAGCAAACATTCGAATATCTCACGAGACCAAGCATGGAGCCAAAATGAAGTCCATCGAAATACGCAGACTCATGAGATGATAGGACACTGCTCGGTAAGAAATGATGATAAGGAGGTGGACTTTGGCTATCAAAGAGACCAGGATGACGGAGATCTCCCTCCTGAGGGAGGACCGCCTCCCGAAGACGAGGAAGAAGATGAGTCCACTGCTCTCGGTTTCGGCGAGCCATGATTGCTTCCTTGACATTATTTCGGGGAGGAGGAAGGGGCGTGTTCTTGTTATCCAGATATTCCATGTATTACGATAGCACATTTTTTCGACTTCTATACGGAGTCTGTCACGCGTTAGGAGCCTTAGAATATATAGCAAGGTTTGGTATGAGTGTTACTGTATCTACGCGGAAAAAAGTCGAATGCCATAGCGACACCGACCTACAGTCCTGGTCAGGTCCCAAGTACCAACGTCGAGCTCACTCGCCTTGGCAGGAATGGTCATAGGTAAAAAGCCTGGGAGCCTCATGGGCAATCTTACTCTACATGGGCATCTGGCGAGCTGCATGGGCGTTTTGGGAGTTATATGGGCAGGTTTGAGCAGGATGGGGGGCGGATGGGATGTGACGCACAGGATTGTAAGGGAGTGACGTCATAGGAACGTCATGGTGATAGCGCGTTCACCTGGGCGTGCTCCCCGCCCATTCCAATGAGTGGCAACGGTAAGTCGGTTTCGCTGATGCCATTGTTATCCTATACTCCTCGACTAGCTTACAAAAAGTCGCCGGGTCGTACCCCTGGGTCATAATCACCGTAGGAGCACCGATATAGAAGCTGTGGTGCAAATGCCCGATAAGCCCTGTAGGAAAAGGTCTGATGAGCCATGAAACACGGAAGTACTAGCACTCGAGGAGTTCCACGAACCAAAGATGTGATAGAAGGGCAGAATTGCAAGTGTAACATCATTCGCCCTCTTGATGGACTCGAAGACTGACCAGGCCATGGAGATCACAGAGCCAGCACCGCGATGGGATGACTATAGGGCGAGAGGATGTTAGTTACAAAGAGAGGGCATTCAACGCGAGGCCGACCTCCACGCCCTTTGGTCGTCCCTGCGCGCGTGCATGAGTTCCATGATCGAACCAGAGTGACAGGAACTTACAGTTGTTCCGGAGCTGTAGCAAATGTACACCGTCTCATCCGCACCAGTTCCATCGAAACGTTCCTCCGATGCACCAGGGTCTCCGAAGAGAGTTCCAAGCCAGTTGCAATCAGTTGTTGCTCTCGAAGGAGTGGAAGACCAGATGTCATCCATCACCCACGTCCGCATCTCTGCCTCAGCCTCACTGACGCCAATGATCTGAAACATTGCCCTTGCTACGGCGACATGGCTACGAGAAACGAACAGCAGCTGGGGTCGGCTGTCCAGCCATTGCCACGAAAGTTCTCGCGGGGTGAGGCTGCTGCTAGCCAGAGTGATGGCTAGGCCTGCTGCCACGGCGCTGAACAGACATAGATAGGTATCAGATAGAGATAAGAGGTATTTGGGGAAAAGACATACCCGAAGAGGGCGACAGGCCAAGAGAGAGAATTAGGGCTGAGGATCATGACGACGTCACCCCGACGGAGTGGTCGTCTGCCACCTTCGACGGGGACTATCGGTTGGTTTCGGAGACCATCCGAGAGTGCAAGTACGTTCCTCTTCAAGTCTCCTCTAGTGATAGAGCAGCCGGTTGCTGCATCGATGAATGCCGGCCTAGCTGGAGGGTACACATCCGAGTCACGAAACAGGTGCGTGAAAATGGAGGTGTTTACTGTGGGCTTCGGAGGGTAGGTCGACCGATAGATTATAGGCTGAGGAGACATATTTGAGCGAGAAGAGTGGGCTATCGCCTTCCTTCAGGCTGGGCCTCGCTTAAATATTTCTGGTGAATCCCCTTGTGTACCAGTTGTGTGATCGGTGCTATCCAGCACCCGAAGCTCAACGCGTAACGCCGCGAACGGTGGTTTCGAATAAGCGCCTTCTGCTTGTTGGGGCGGCATGCCCCTGCTGCACTCGGGCTTCATACCTAAAACGAAACAATCCATAGGGCCAGATAGTGCCCTCGTCGCCTCAGATTCCGCCGAACAGGACGGCGTGAGTAGCTCTGTGACAGATGATGGGTGCTGGGGAGCGAAACAGCTGTGGTTGGTGTTTTACTACCCAGCGTAGTTTATGCCCTCACAGTATTGTCGAAAAAGTGGAAGAAAAGGGCAAGGGGTTGAGACGAGAGATGAAGCAAGTAAATTTAGCAACTCGCAGAGCCAAGCGCCCAAGCTGTTTGTCAGTGGCGTTAGAAAATAACTGTGACATTCAGCAGCCAAACACAGAGCCTTCTGGGCTGCTTCCCTTGGACGACTCAACCACCTCGACCAACGTCAAGCAATGTCTTCAGCAACAATATCGACACTCTCCGACGATATCCTCTACCACATATTCACATTCCTTGCCGACTTTTCCAAAGCTTCATTTGTCGACATTCTGTCTGTGTCTCATGTCTGCCGAAGATGGCGCGGAATTGCAATTGACACCCCTGAACTTTGGCGACGTTTTGTCTTCCTGGAGTGGCAAGCCTTTCCTGACCCAAAGGTTTCCCTCCAGATCCTGGAGCGCTGTCGAAACTGCCCTATCGACGTAGGGTGGTACGACGGTTTAGAGGAAAAAGAGGAACCCCGTACAGTGGACCTTGGTCGCCGTCTTCTCCATCTGGACAAGATGCGCTCTTTGGTTCTCCTTCTCTAAGAAATCAGGGAGAAATCCGAAGAGATGGACCATGTCACCAGAGCCTTTCGAGAAAAGAAGGCTGGTAACCTCAAGGTACTCAAGATTTCGGCTACGATGTTCGGCAGGATTTGGGATGTGCGATTGCCAACCCAGTTCCTTGAACTGGACAGGCCCGTCCTCACGACACTCGTTCTCGATCGCTGTATATTCGACGATCCATCCAATCTCAATTTGGATACCCTCCTCAGCCTCGAAATCTTTACCTCTCTCAGAAGCAAGGCTGAGATACAGAGCTCCCATTCCGCTCCATCAGCACATTTTGCGTCACAGCTCTCACTGATCGCTCGATGTCCAAACCTTCGAACCCTTGATCTAACCTCCAAATCGCATTACGAAGACTGGGTACTTCAGCCCGGCTCTTTACCGTCCATATCCCTCCCCCACCTCGAGCTGCTCACCTTGACTCTGAATTACGCAGAGTTGAAGGCATGGTCCGACGTCGCCCAAGTTCCTCGAACGGCCACAGTCACGTACACCGGTCGCCTCTTCTTCCTCGATGCCGCCAAACCGTACACCGAGCTCTTCACCATACTTACAGAAGGTTTAATCCCTTCTACTACGGAACCCACCTCCTCGAGCGAACTCTCTCATCACACTCCTCTCGTGATCGGCATCTCCGATTTGTCGTTGGTGATAGGGTTGGAGAGCGTGACCACCATGATTAGTTTCTGGCCCTACATCGATCGAGTCGAAGCGATGGGTCAGGTATGGGCACAGCTTTCCCCGCTATGGGCGAAGCTCGTACCCAGAGCAAAGTCATTGCGGCTTCTGGTCCCTGACTCGGCGGAGAAAAGCGTGAACTATAGGCGTGCCATTGAATGCCTTACAGAGTTCCTGAAGATGGCCACGCAAGTCAAGTACTTGTTGGATTGCGGGATGGCGGCCCTGGCGATGCTCATAGATATACACACCATCAGAGGAGACAACTCGGAAGTAATTCTCCCCTCCTTGACGCACTTGCGCTTGGGCGAGCGCGAAGACACGCTAGAATTCTTCAAGACACTCCGGTCCAAGGCCATGCTGCAGCGTTTTTTGGACAAGAGGAAGGAAGTTGGTCATGCGGTGGAATCTCTTGCACTGGATGCTTCCTTGGTCGAGGAGCTGAAGGATCATTTGAAGGACACTTTCATAGTCTCAGAGCCAAAGTAGAAAGCTAGTTTGTTCAATGCTTAAACATTTGATTTACGCGCCATCAATGGGGAGCTAACCGAATGTGAGGAGGAAACGCGGCGCTTCACCTGGCAGGAGAGACACTTCAAAACCCATTCAGCCTATCCACTGCTTTCTTCCCTTCCCCAACATCCAAGTAATCCAGTAGCACAAAGTTCGGCGCTCGACCCTGCGAGAACCTAGCGCACCCATTCGCATGGGCCATAATCCTGCAAAGCAGAAATCAGCGATAAGTATCCAGTAAGGAGTCGGAGTACGCTAATCTTACGATGACATGCTATTCGTTCTCGGCGCATTCGCAAAGTCGCTGATGAGTACCGTTCCCAAATCCCATGGTATGATATTCCTATTCAGATTGTGGTTGATCAAATGCATGTGGTCGTCATCCGACAACGGTCCTCCTGTACGGTCGATTCGGCACGGGAAGTTGGGGTCTGTCGGGGAGAACGGGTCCTCCCACATCTTCCAACAGGCAATTACAAGTAACAGGTAAGCTTGCATCTCGAAATCACATTTGAACAAGTAATTAGACGCACCATCTGGAATTGCGGTAGGATGAAATCAACCGCCGAATTGTCGTACTGATCCATGAAGACAATAACACGCTTATTGGAATCAATAAGCTGTCCCAAAGTCGGCCATTCGTTTCTTCGAACAGGTCGGACAGGTGGGACATAGGCCAAAGGGGTTATACCTGTCAATGAAACGGGATGTCACGTTCGGAATTCAATAAGCAGTCGAATTTCCATAAGCAATCCGACTCTTCCATAAGCAGAGCCGTATTCACCGGGCGTACTTACCAGCTTGGTCAAAGATGGGTTTCCAAACGTCGGTTAACGAGTGCCCTTCGGGGTTGGTAAAAATGAGGGTGACGACCTCGTATGGATTGGCTTCCAAAAAGGTCTTGACTGTCCGGAGGAAATCTAGCACGGGACCTCCGTCGAATAACCCCTATAACAGTTTCGTCCGTTCGTGAGTTGGTACTTTCGTTACAGCCTATCGAAGTATCTTACACATGCTACGATGAAAGGTCAATATCATTTTAGGCAGAGAATGAGATTATGAATGTAACGCACTGGTATGGCAGAAATGTAAGCGCCCATCTTTCCTGTATCATGGGGTCATGAGGCTCATGGTCGACGATCTTCACGGAAAAGAGGTACCAACATGTGCGATTGCGCCTGTAGCACTCGCGCACCCAAGCGAAGCTGGGTTGGGACGTCGACGGCCTGTGTCCTGGCAACTGAAAGACATCAGTCTCCAAATGTAATTGAACCAGTTAGCATCGGAGTACTTACGCGCCAGTGGAAGTGGGCTCCAAGCAAAAGCGTTATGCGATGTCAAGAACGTCGTATTCCCATAACTGCGACTGCACAACTCCGCCCTGCCATTGCAAATAGTCGCTCTAATCAAACCAATATTCAGCCATCGAGCATTCAGATGAATCAAAAGTACCGTACCTCTTTCTCAAGATATACAGCCCATTCGCTGTACTCGAGAACAGGAGAAGAACAAGCAGGCCCAAACGGAATCCCAGGAGGCTGGTCATCGTGAAGGTGGGTTGGGTGGAGGACAAAACCCAGCTCGCACCTCGTACCAACCTTATATTTAACCAGCCATAAATAATCTCATGAAAGCACCAAAGAAGCATGCATATGGTAACAGACTTCTGGGCGGCATGGACAATTGAGATAGACAGACGGAATGAACGGCACGAGAAATCTAGTCGCATTTAAAACACTTTTGGTGGTCACAGGGTTGGCGCCGTCGTCAAGTCGAGCTTCTTTCATGGACAGGAAGAAGGCTGGTTCCCGCGAGGCTCCGAGTGCCCAGAGATCGCGTTTTGTGTTCGTCTTGGGTTAGACTGCAGCTGGTAGCAGTTGTAACCAGGACCAAGAGGAGCGTTACTTCAGCACTTTTCAATGCCTCTCGTCGTTCCTGCAATGCAAAGGTTTGGATCCACAAGAAGCTTTCCGGCCAGGAGGACATGAGGAAGGCCAGAAAGAAATCAACGAATCATAGCGAGCGAATGTGGGACCTCGCTCGGAAGCTGCCGTAAAGAGTGCCGAAGGGATGCCGCTTAGTCATGGCGAGCGCCTACTAGGCGCTCATGGCGGGACTGGGAAGGATGGAGTCAAATTCATAATTAATGGCAGATAAACTAGTGACACGGAAGCCAACATACACTATAGAAGTATTTAAGAAAAGAGTCGTGCGCCAGTAAACCGATGCCCCATCGCAGGATGCGGAAACACAGGCGACAGCCTATTCGAAAGCATCCCCCACTGCGCCGAGGGATCGAGGAAGTCGCAGGTGCCCAGTAGCCCATCTTCAATCTCAATCCTCCGGTGACAAGTCGCCGGGATTGACAGCGTCTTGAAAACCAAATGAACCTCCTTCAGTCGACTCTTCAACTGCAAGCTGCGCAAGTTCGGAAGCTGCGCCTTGGGAGGCGAGCTAGAACGAAGCTCCGACTCCTCGTCTTCCTCCGCTAACCGCGCAAACTCCAGCTTGAGCTCCTCCAATGCAGGGCAGCGGACGAGGATGGCCCAGTAATCCGACCATCTTGATCCCGGCTTGGTCGGAGTGATGTCGAGGTACACGGTTGAGGTTATCTCCAGAACGCGTAGGCCGTCGAGTCGGATAGTGGGCGATGACAAGTCGATCCAGCAATGCTTGAGAGAGAGTCGCTGCAACCTCGGTTCCCCCACCATGTCCTCTTCCTCCTCTCTGTCCTTCCCTTCGTCCTCGCTATCCGAATCCGCTAAGGCAGGCCCCTGCTCGAACATATCACCAGGAAGGATCCACAACCCTCGCTGACAATCCGCCCACGCCACAACCTCCAGATCCTCCATTTGCGCTGCCATTGAACGAATCCCGAAAAAGGTGGAAACTGTGGCCCACTGGTTATAGCCACCGAACATGGGGAGGAAGTAGGACCGCATGAGGTTGAGGTTGCACAGTTCGCCCTCGAGTTCGTTCGGGGAATGGAGGAGGTTTAGCTTGGACTTGGTCCATTGGTGTATGGCGCTGCTCCCCTTGGTCGGCGTCGTGCGTAGCTCCAGACTTTCTTTCCTCCTCCACCCGGCGTCGATGGTTGCGCCGCGACAGCGCGAAAGGATCTCCCATGAGAACGCGTCGTATCCTCCTGGCTGCCCGTCTTTCCCTTCCACCCAGCCCAGGAGAGCGAAGGGCCTCCATAGCTCCGGGTAACTCACCGCGAGCGCCCTCCACCACCGGCAAACGTGTGACGTGGCGAGCGTAGCGAGGAGGGAGCAGGTGCTCCTCTCCGCATTAAAGGTGAAGATGTGACATAGAACCTCGGCTGATAGGACGCCAGTCGTCGATTGGGGCTGATAGAAGGAGGCGTCGACGAGCGTAGCGGACGTGGTCGAGGAAGTCATTAGTTGGCTTTCCGGGGGAGAATAGGACGAAGTGCGTAACTCGGTAGGGAAGTCTGGGGTAAGCATTATGAAATGTCAATGATACGACTTTATACCCGTTCGCCGCGAGGCATAGATAGGCGTGGGCCCCTCCAACCCCGATCCCTGGACATCATTCAAGACACTAAGAAAGGCTTAGAGACCCTGCCGTTGGCAGCGCCTTCAACGTAGCTGGGGGTTGGCATCGCGCGACTTGCCAAAACGAGAACGGTGGCAAGGCGCCTCGTGTTCCTTTTACGTGGGCGGACCCTTGTATGGGGGTTTTGGGTGTGAACGTTGCGTGGAGAATGCTGTCATGGGCGGCGAGGGACTCCTCAGGGTAAGCTGCTGGTGGTATGCATTCACATTGGATGGTTGGCGGTAGCTGTAAGGGTATTTCTGCAGACCATGAATGAATGACTTTCCTGCGTTTTGACACGAGAAGTGAGCGGCTTTGCTCTGAAATCAAGTGGTGGTTCATTTGTGGACGTGGAATCGGGAATAGATGGCCGGTAGAGTTCAGGCAAGAAACCTAGAAACCCGAGGGATATCTCTCGGCGACCAGTGACACACTAGGATTAATGCCCAGACGAAGAGATGACCAGCGCTGACAATACCACCTGCACAGTTATACTTCATAAAACACAGAGCATTCAACCACTGTAGATCCAGCGTGACAAAGATGGAGCCTCCACCGAGCGACCCGAGTCCATGTTGGTTCACGATAACCGCGGAGTCTAGGAGCCGTAAGAGCGATGCCACCGACCAAAGTCAAGTGCTCAAACGAGCACCCTCAGAGTACTGGACCAGAGCGAAGGTGCATGGTGAAGATTTCACTTCAGGGGATAGGCACGAGCGAGACCAAGACGAGGGTAAGAACGAAGAAGCAATCATGACGACGCGTCACCCGAACTTAAACCGGAAAAAGTGGACCTTATCGCGGCAATCACTGACACGGGACCGCCGGGAGCTACGTCTGATGTCTACTGGGAGCTGCATGTCACTTCCACCTTCGACTTACGGCGATTGCAGCGAGACGTTTCCAGTTCACTCTGCACTGAATAACTTCAATGCATCATGATCTCTAGTGAGATCGGGAGCGAGACATGATGATTTCAAAGATTGACGCGGAAACGCTGATAATCTCAGTACAGCTTGCATTGCGCTGATCTTCCAAGATGGATACAATGAGAACTACTTATTGTTTTAAAACTGGCAATCTCAATCCACAATAAGTATTCGTGTACGCGTGAATGACTTTCCGCCGCAACCGCAAACGACTTCGGCAAGCTGCAAACTCACCTTCCAGATTGAAGTTTCAGATTAGCGCCCATGGAGAATACTAGTGTGACTTCGGGTACCCATTGTCGCCCTGCAGGCCGAGCCTCGCGTTACTTTAAATGTACTAAAGCTATTTATTCAACCTTAGCTACGACCGCAGCGTGGCTGGTCATATTACTTACTCAAATCAGAAGACCAAAGCTCCTTTTAATCTTCAGCTCCATGCTTCCTTCGGGTGGTAGATACTCCCGATAACTAATATATTACAGCCAAGGTTGCGATAACGAAGTTCGGACCGACATGATCATCGACCTTCAAGTTGGTTCAATCCCATCGAGCTCAGTCGAGCAGAGCCAACTCCCGTTGGGTGATCATGATACGTAGTAGAAACCCACTGGAACACGAACGACTGGATGTCTTGCACATGTGCAGTTCCCCAGACCGCGGTTCCAAAATAAACCGAAGCGAGCATCGTCGAGCTATACATGACTAAAAACATACTAGCTTCCCATTGACAAGACGTTTGACGTACGTACGTCCAACTCGAATTCAAACAGCGGTGTCAGAGACTCGAACAGTGAGCCTAATAACAGTACATGGTGTACTACCCTATGACATGGTGCATGACTTTTACTAAGTATGCAGTAATGGACAATCGGTAATCCAAACATACCGAATGAACCCCAAAAGTACATAAGTGTCTGCTAGGAGATGACGAAATGGCGTCGGTAACCAATCCTCCAATGACAGTATAATAAATGCCGTCTGCCACCAGTCAAGGCACACTTGGGGCCTACTTTTCAATCAGTTCAACAACATTTCCAAACCCGCCACAAGTGCCCAAAACAAGCCAAAACTGATCCATCCTTGGCGACCAAATTGAGCCTCGAAAGCGCCGGGATGTCAAGTTAATTTCTCCAGTCATGAGAACAGATATTAACCGGACAATAATAGGTCGACTCTTGGCCTTTCCCTGCGCATACCAGGCGCATACATTAGGAGTTCTCGCCTGCTGGGACCGGCGTTTTTGGATTTCGTTTTTGTTGTCGGATGTGTCTGGGCGCCTCGCTCGGGAAGCTGTGGTCGCCCGACCTACCCTTTTGGATCTGGAAAGAATCATTAGAAGCATCACAGGGGTAAAATCGAAGTGGCGCAGGCTCCCAGTGGGAGTGGTCGGCCTTCCAAAGGTGATCAATTCTCGCAGATTTCGATTCCCCATTCTCAGACCTGTCCTAAAGATATTGCCGAGTACAATGCTCTTCTCAACCCAGGATCCTGCTTCAATCGATTGACGAAGAGCCCTACTGCAAGCTTGTTCTATCACAACCCGCCCGAAACGGTGGGCACACACCCCGGAAAAAGAAGGTAAGATGGATTGGATCAGTGTAGGTGCATGCCTTCCCGCAAGTCAAGCCAACTTCTGCGCACTACACCCTAAGTACTTTTACCCCCAAAATGGGGCTGCTTAAACCCGAGGTGGGATTCCGCCTACAACCGCCGATAAACGCTCAAGCATGCCATAAATGACCTGCCAAACGGTGGGCACTATATAAACTCACATTTTCGAGAAGAAGGGGTTGGACAGCTCACCCACCCTCGTCAGTCGCCCTCCCGCCTTGACCCCTCAGGCCTCTACCCCCATACTATACTCCGCCTGCGACCAAAAAATGGCTTTCGCTCTGAATCCTCCCTCCGACAACACCAACACTATGACGTCTTCGAACGGTCTGGCCTTCGGCTCGAGCCCAGAGGACCTCCGCCTCAAGTTCATGACGCTCCTAGCCATGTACGACCTCCTCCCTTACTCCATCTCGCACCCTCCCAACGCCCGGGAGCCGCTCGACCTCAAGTCCGCGATCGACGCCAACTCTCTACAGCGCTGTTTGATATCAATGACACAGCAAGGCATCCTCACAGAGGACGAGGCCCGCTCCCTCTCCGCTGTGTACAACACGGAATACACGGTAAATCATCTTATTGTTGTTTAGCCCGTCCTCCTGGGCCGCCAGTTGGGATTATTGAAGTCGCTGATGGATCCCCCTTTGCAGCACAATATGAATGCATCGAGCACAAGACCGAACCAGTCCTCCTGAACCACCGATAGTCCAAGCCAGAGAGGGATGTCCGACACTCCGAGAAGTTCCATAACGAAGGGAAATAGCCCAAGCGGGAACATGATACTGTTCCTTGGTTGTCGGCGACAGGCGGGTTTCCCCAATAGGGTCATTTAGAAAGAGTTCTGGGAGGAGACATTTAAGTCTCCTCCGTCGGGAGTCTGTGGTAGACTAGAAGCGTTTTGGAAGCGTTGAATTGACAAAACGATTTTCTCGTTACGGTTGAACCCCGTACTTTCAGGCGGACGAGAGGGCGAGAATTTACAGAACGAGGAGTGAAGACGATGGTTCACATTCAAAGGCCAAGTTTAGAGCGATGGAAGGTTGGAGCTAGTCAGATGCGTTTTATTAGCAGTTCATGGGGTATACTATACAAACAACATGCAATGCGGTCGAGGGGGGAGTTGTAGGAATCGAAAGCGATAACAAGTCCAAAGCAAAGTTGAGGGAAAAGGTGAAGACTGCAGAGACATCTACCTCCTTGAAATGAGGTATTGGGCGAAGCAGCCGACAGCGACGAAGGCGGCCGCAAGCGTCACTGCCCAAGGCTTAGCGACTGTCACATTCGAAGGAGAGGCCTTCTCTTCGGAAATATAGTGTCGAGCGAAAAGGTCGTTTTGGATCCAAATGAGCTAAGAACAGGACAAGGGTTAGTCCACAACCAGAACCCGATCATTGCTAAGGCTACAGACGCACCTTATTGAAAGCCCTCATCACTACCAGCTTAGTAGCATCGTCCAGGTCGGGGTGGGTCAAGACGGCATTCACGAGGATATCCTCGACATAGCCAAGGAGGATCGCACACTGAATGTACTCCACTCGCAACGAGGGTTTGTTTTGGCTGAATACTCATATCAGAAAACAGCCTCGACATCTTATCAAAGAAGGGACTCACCGATACGAGAACCCAGCTTCACCGGTATGCATCAACCCTACTTTATCGAGGTACTCCCACGTCGACATCTTGTCGTAGTCCATAGTGACCAACTTGACGAGATACCTCGCCAAAAAGTCCTTCCTAAACTTGATTTGCGGGTGGCTTTGGCTGAGATCGTTCAAGCTGGTGGGCGTCTCTCCCGAGTAGCCAGTTTGGCGCGGGACAAAGGCCTTGGCGGTGACGCTGAACGAAAGCAGCTTTTCATAGACGGTGTCGACGACGAGGGGGACGAGCGGGGCGACGACGGGGCGTGCGGCGTGCAAAGCGGCCGCATCCTCCGAGGTGAACTCGATAAAATCGCGGAGGTACTGAATGCGGTAAGCGAAGTCTGATTGCAACTTGGCTTCTGAGATCAGCTGCATGGTGTGGTAGAAGTGCGGTTGGTTGGATTGAATGTGTTGTAGAAGGGGTTGTGAGAGTAGAAGTGCCTGGGTGGTGAGGAACAAGGCTAGGTCAGTTCAGGCTGCTTAAATACCTTACGGAAGGTGCTTACCCACACTTGGCAGTTAACGCGTCGACGGTAACCCCATCGTGGACTCCCAAAAAAAATAAAGGTGGATCAGATCGGAAAAGGAAGCAAATGGCTGGCCTCAAGCCCAATCTCCGGCTCGAAGCGTCCAGGTCCCCCGCCCATGCTACGTCCTAGACTCCGACATGTCGACTCCACCGTCCAAAATACCCTCCAAATGGACCTTCATGTTGAAAGCAAGGACTACAGCCTTCAGAATAGAGTTCACTAGGCACTCCCAGGCCCCCCAGAGAATAGCCGATAACGAAGATACGAAGCAGTAGGAAGCGAAAACGTTGAACCGTCCAACCAGCCGCTGGCTGATGCTTGTGTCACCACGGAAAGACCCGAGTCGCAGCCGTGCCAGCCGAATGGGCTTGGTATTCTGGACCGCGCTCTAGTCCTCCGCCCTGCCCCCGACATAGCCAAATCCTAAACTTCCCATTGGCTGGTCGGTTTTGATGGCGTTTGTCATCCCGACGCCTCGACCAATGAGTTCGAACCTGTTACGCTGCAATATGTTCTAGGGCTGGGAGGCTGGGTAACTGCGCAGTGCAATACACACAGCATTAGGGAAAAGTAGGGAGAATCTAGTCCCACATTATTCCGATGCGCCAGCCAATGGAAATATTCCTGTTTCGAACCGATGTTAAAAGTCGTCTCATGCCAGCGAGGCTGGAAAATTGCAAGTCCGAGGTCGGGGAGGGAGGAGGGGGGAAGGGAGGTCGTCGTCCGGCGGTTATTTACGGTCTACGCCAAAAAAGGAATTCCCGACGGTCAGACAAATAAGGCTAATCTCGATTCTCTTTGAGGTCATGAAAGTCAAATTCCAAAGCAAATCATTAAAATACACGCAAAACAAAAAAGCAAAACACACTCGCCACGTAAAAGCGACGTCGTCAAGGGCATTACGCTCATTCCAAAAATCATCACCTGAAGCGGTTTTCCGTCGGCCTCTCCCAACCGAACGTGCTCTACCCAACCGACCATCCACTCCCAACCGAACGTCTCTCCTGACCGACCGTCCTTTCCCAACTAAACGTCCTCCTCCAAACGCGTCCAAGCTGCTTCTATTCAAGCAACCTCCTTCCGTGTAACACTCTCAGTCTTTTCAGAGCCCTCTTCATGTACATGCTCCCCACGCTCCCTCTGCACCTTCCTGATATTCTCGTTACGCTCTTCAGCGGAGATGGAGCCGAAGATGATGTCCATCTCTTCCAAACTCTTGCCTTTGGTTTCGGGGATGAGGCTGTCCGTGTCGAGTGTCCATGTCGAGGTGGTGTCGAGAGATAAAGGTGGAGACGATGGAGGTGGAGAGATACACAGTGGAGCGGGAAAGGTAGACAAAATGTCAAGAGATAACGCGATAAGAAGATAGACAGATACAAGTCAGCTACCTCAAACAAACCAGAACCAAGAAACAAATCTACGCACGCAGAGAAGAGACCCATAGCACCAACGTTGATAGCGCCGAACATCATGAAGATCTTGAATCCCAGGGCCGTCAAAAGCTGTGGAGTGACCTTGGAGATAACAAAGTCTATGTTCGAAGAGGGCGAGTCAGATACCAGATACCCAATACCCGATACCAGATAAAAGAGATAAGAAGATGACGATACGTACTCCAAAGCCATTGAGAAGCACTGGCAGTGGCCAACCCATAGTGCCTCGTCCTCGTCGGGAAGATATCAGAGACATACACCCACGGGAGGGGTCCTAGACGTCAAAACAATAAGCACACATTCTATTCTCCACGAAGAATAAAGTGAGAGAAACACTGGAAACCACACTTACCCCACCCAATACTATAAAAACACACATAAATATACAACATCGCCGCCATGCCCTTGGCAGCAGCCGACGGCTCGGGAGGGGCAACATTCGGATTCGTCGATGGCGGCGGGTGCGTCTTGAGAATCGCGCCGATAATGAAGAACAGGGATCCCATGCCCAGAGCGGAGATTAGGAGAGAGAGTTTACGACCGATGGTCTCGACGCCGAAGAAGATGAAGATGGCGGTGGCGACGACTTTGATGATACCGTAGACGCCGCTGGCGAGGAGCGAGTTCTTGCGCGCTACAAAGCCGATCTGGAGGGGATGGATGTGAGTGAGGGGTACGATGAAGGACAAAGAGTGGAGGAACGGCGACGTACGGATGCGAAGATCTGCGGAGCGTAGTAACTGCGATGAAAAACGATCGTCAATCCCAACCCTCCACAAAAGAAAATCCACCTCAGCAGAAAAATAAAGTCCTCACTTGATCGAGTTCTGTCCAGCCCACTGCTGCAACAGGAAAATCACAAAAGCAATAACAAATCGGATGAAATTCCCTTTGCCCAAAAACGCCTCCTTCAACCCAAGACCAGCCCTCGCTTCCCTTTCTTCCTGGATAGCAGCTTGAATTTCTGCAAATTCTTCGAGAATGGCGGGAGAGTCGATGGGTGCGCGGCGGAGGTAGGCCAGATTCTTCAGTGCTTGTTCGTCTTTGCCGACTGAGGCGAGCCATCGAGGGGATTCCTGGTGGTAATGGATGGTTGATGGAGAGGTTAGGGGACGGTGTGTGTGGAGTGGGACGAGAATGAGTGTAAAACGCACTTTGACGGTCAGGAGACCCAATACCATGATACCCGCGGGGATCAGCTGCACACCGAATGGAATACGCCAAACGTTGACTCCGGTGGGGACGTGTAAACCAATGGCGACTAATCCCATTCCAGTCAGTAAACAACGTCAGCCTCGACCAGACGAACGTCCAGAACTCACAATTGACGAAATACGAAATCATAACACCAATCGACACCTGGACCACCACCACCGACCGCGTAAATAAAACTTGCATTCTTTGCTCCGGGTCGTGTACGAGTGTAAGACGTACCATGATTTGGAAGAGACCGGTGATACGGCCACGAACTTCTTTAGGAGCACATTCGGAGACGTATGCTGGGGATACAGCTGAGATAGCACCGATTCCGTAGCCTCCGAGGACTCGTCCGGCGTAGATCAGGGGAAGACCATGTGGCGGTCCAGCAGCGACGGTGGTGAGGATCTACAATCGCCAACAGGGGTGATAACATCCAGAGTCAGACCACAATACGGACTTGGCGACACGAAAGACAGAAAAAGAGCTTACAGCACCAATGGTGAAGATCACGGTAAAAGCGAACAAGGTATTCCGTCGTCCCAAGCGTGCTAGAATGCCAAGTAATGCATGTTAGTGAAACCAAGGTTAATTACCCCGCAAATCCATCGAGAGAAAATGGGGAAAAGAGGGGATGAAAAGGTGCCAATAAACCCACGAGGCTGCCACGAGACACGCCACGCTCTCGGGGAGTCTATTAGGTATGTGCTCCGTCAGGGAGTTGTCGTGTCATTGTCGCGATGTTAGAGTCTGTCCCACTTCACTACATCCTCCATCCAGACCTGCGACCCACGACACGACACCGCAGAAGCCATTCTGGGATATATTTCCGAATATCATCATCCCCCGAAATTCTTCCTTCTCTCGTGGCAGGTCACCTGGGTCGCAGAAATGACCCAAAAACGAAGAGAGGGGGTGACAATCGCGAATTCGAAGGTCGCAGGTCGAAGCCAGATCAGAGCCCAAGTTCTCAAAGAACTCTGGGATGCCGCGAAGGCGAAGGGAATTGGATCGAAGCTCGAGGGGAAGTGGTGTATGTACTCATGATATATGGGGTCGTGATAATGGGGATAGGTTCAACGTTACTCACAGGAGACGGGGGCACTGCTGAGTGCACCGAAGAAGGCGCCTGCCTGGAGGACGGCGACGACGTTGCCGGAGACTTCGTCGGATTTCTTGACGTCTTTGACGCCGTTCTCGATGAGCCCGAAGGACTCGAGGAAGTAGGGCGCGCTGACTACACCGCCGCTGTTCGTTGTGCTTGGATGAGAGGTGGAATGAATGGATGCTGGGAGGTGTGGACGTACCCGATGCCGCTATCAAATGAATTGGGTTAGCAGGAGGCTATGGGACGAGAACCATTGCATTGACAGGACGTACGTATCATAACCGAACAAGAGGATACCCCAGTACACAATGAAGGCCAACCCTGTGGAAACTTCAACGCTGTCCTCGACCTGTTGCACAAGAGAAACGCACAGTATACCCTGATGTTGCGGAACCTGCCCTCCGCAGTGGCAGTAGTGTCACCCATATCTGATACCGCTCTGAACGAAAACCCAACGAAGGTGAAGGAGGACCAATAGAATCACCCAGCCACGGAGTGATTAGTAGTATGACCAGGCAGGCGGGTGTCTGTCTAGTCTGCGAGAAGACGGGGACTGGGGGGGAGCCTAGGAGTCACGGGGGAGTGGTTCGAAGGCAAACGAGAGCTTCGACTTCGAGAGGTCGATACATACATATATACTCGTTTGCCTCCACGGCTCCGTGCCCAAGCGCCTTGCTAGAACCGATGGGCTTCCCATGGATCTCGCTTCTTTAGGGTTGATATAGCTTCCTTGCGTGTCCATATAGTGAAGCTAGACCATTTTGACGGGGAAGCACCGACGGGTTGGTGTTCGCGGTGGGCATTAAGGTAAGGTGTGGAGATGAGCTCCGTTCGCGGTGCAGGCAATCAAGTCTCGTGCTCCATTCGTCTAGGATCTGGGTAAGGTGACATAGTCCTGCATGCAGGAATAGATGAGTACATACCCCGAAGTTACGATCCCATAGACTTTGTTGTTGTACGTTGAGAAGCAACGGAGCAGGTGGGAGTGGACATCAGAGCAGATCATACGGTCATGGGTCCACCTCTGGACTCATTACAACGGGCCGCTTCTGACACGAACTGCTGTCCGAACGGACCGTTATCTCCCCCTCACTGCAGCCCTTCAAGCATTCACTGTTTGGCAAGTTCTATCGCTAAGAAAACACGAGACCCAGTTTACTCGGCGAAACTGAGGTTGTTGAGTACCACAGTTACTCACCAATTCTCCATTGAACGATCCCGTTGTGTGATTGTCCTCCTGTTTTCTCATACCGTTTTCGTGCGCACCAGGTTTTTCCGCTCCATTTCGTAACTCGTGGGTTGACTGCATTGATGGGAAGGTATTTTGCAGAGAAATGAGATGGGAAGCAGTAGAGTTGCACGTCGACGTTATTCAACCCCGCGGCGCAACTTGGGGAAGAAACAACTTGGTTTCAACGGCGGGTCGGTTGAGCGATGCGCAATAGGGGTGGGAAAATACACGCAAACTCCGACGGCCAGAGGTCGGCCCGTTTGACATGAGATTCCCTCTACCTCTTGCCACTGTCCTCTACGACTAACTATTCAATACTCAACCACTGCAACCGATATGAAGAACAAACGCCAGTGTCAAGCATGTCGTTGGAACGGCCCGTTCTTCAACATCGACCAATTCAACCGTCCCGACGGCCAGAGTCATTGAAAGGACACAGGTCTTCAGGGTTATGGCCAGGAAATCACACTCTTGCATGAGCTTTGTCGAGCTCTGAACATGGACGACCCGCCGAAATAGGCGCCTCTTCCGTCATAGGCCGCCTCATGGCGCTAAGCGCCTGCAACGAGTCCTTGTTACAACGGGTTTACCATATCGGGTTGCTTGGCGCCACGCAAATTCCTTCTCGACAAAGGCTTTCGAGAGGTATGAAAGGCACAGGTAGGGTTGTCACATCCAGCGTCACGCTTAGGAAACTAAATAAAACCAGCAGGCGTTGCAAAGTCCTTTCTCCAGCAATTCGTTATTGACCTCGCCTTGCATCGACCCTTTCCGCGACCTAGCCTTTCATCGCTTTCACCTTTTTTGCGTTTTGGGACTGTAAACATGGTCCTCCTTTCTGTTACCAACCGCGTCCTTCAGGTCCCCGAACTTCTGGACACCGTATGCAGTCACCTCGATAATATCTCCCTCGTTCGTGCTGCTCGCGTGAACAAGACCTGGTCACCCATCGCCCTTTCGTTCCTGTGGAGGGAACTTGATGACCCACGTCCTTTGTTCAGACTCCTTGCCCCTGGGGGGTTTGAATACGGCAACGGCAAATTCGTGCGTAGCGCCTCGCCTCCTTTAATTCTCTCATATTCCAACTTCGTTTCTTTGTCGCCAAAGGATTTCAAGACCCTACCGACCGAAGACAACTGGACTCGCTTCGAGCACTACAGCCGCCGCATTCGATCTTTGTCCATTGACGATACAGACGAAAAGTACAGCCTCATCTTCGACAAGTTCGCTCGACTGCGTCCACTCCGCCCGCTCTTCCCCTCTTTGCGCAAGCTCGAGTGGATCGCCCCGAACGAAAACTCTCTCACTCAGCGCAGCGTTCTGTTCATGCACGACAGCGTACGGGACTTCAGCCTCACCCTACCACCCATCTACGCACACCACCCCTCCGCCTCCCTCCGACAATATTTCAACCACTTCGTCGGACGAATGCCACTCATCAGTAGACTTGCGATCTTGATGAAAGGATACGCTGCGAATATCGAGAAGGAGCTGGTGGCTTTGACTCTGGCGTTGAAGGATACGCTTACGACGCTCGTGGTTCCCCGGTACTTTACGACTTCCACTCTAATCGAAGCGGCTGCAAGTCTTCCTCACCTCACCGCCCTCGCCAGCCATGACTCCATCGCCGGCGTCCACAATGCAGCGCGGCGCTTTGTGCCCAATCTACCCGCGGGTAGCTTTCCTTCCCTCGTCTCGCTCGAGCTCGGTGTGCCCTTTGTCGACCTCGTCCAGTGGTTCCGCAAGGGCGGCCTACCGGCGACGTTGCAGCATCTTACAATCACGACTCCGAGGTTGGAGGGAGTTGGCGGATAAGGAGCGTAACCTCAAGTCGCTTGCGGTTTTGAAATGTGATAGTAGGCCTTTGGAGAGGGGTTTATTCCCGACTGTGGATGATTGTCCTTCCATTGACGACATTGCGCCTTACTTCACTGCCTCAGCATCCACACCCACATCCACGTCCACGTCCTCGACCTCTGACCAAGGCACACTTTCAGCTCCCTGCGCCAATCTTCGAAGAATTCGAATTCCAGCACGAATTTCCACTTATCATCCCCCCCACCCCGGCTTCCCGAACTCCTCTCCTCGATGTCCAAAATCAAGTTGTTAGGTCTGAACCCGAACCCTGATTTTATGTGTATGGATGCGCGTTCTGGCCCTGGGGGGAGTTTCCTCACCATGCGGTCGTTAGCTACGATTCGGGTTTATTGTCCCGAGTTGGAGAGTCTGGGTGTGTATGTTGATACTGGGGTTAAGGACTTTGTGTGTCCATTCGACGACGATGATGGGGTGCAGGATGAGGATGCCGGTGTTATAGAGCCTTTTGGAAATCTGGAAGAACTGGTCATCGGCGGTCCGGGCGATATCACCACCGCCAACATGTTCACCACCTCTCTGTCACTCCCGAACTAACCCCCTCAATTTCTACCTCTACCTCCACCTCCACCTCGCCTTGGCCTTCGACAACGGACCAACTCTCCGAACAAATCTCCCTCTACTAGTACCTCTCCCGTCTCTGCCCACACGACTGCCACATCGCGTCGGGCACGACGTTCCGGCTGCGGGGTGTCCCGCCCGAGACCGTCGAGCGGCGGCAGGTGTTTTGGGAGACGGTGCGCTCGCAGTTGGGGTTGCTTGTTAGGGTGAGAAGGGAGGAGGAGAGGAGGGTGAGGGCGTTGGATGCGACGATTGAGAGGCTTGAGAAGGAGGTTGTGAGGTGCGGGGGGATGTTGGTGGATGGGGTGCGGAGTGGGGCGTTTCGAAGTGGTAGTAGCTATGTAGTAGGTAGCTTTTGACCTTGGGTTATGGCTATTTTCCTTGTGGGGACGCCTCCTTTACGCTGGGGTTCGCCTGGCATTTAGCCTGGTCTGTGGTTGCATATATGTATTATCCAAGTGAAGCATTGTCCGAGCCGATATAAGCTGTATCTATGGGGACATTCTTCATAAGTGTCCTGAACTCAGTAGCAGTATTGCATCGTCGGCCGTGGAAAATTGAAATGTCACCTCTAGCCCGGCCGTTCCTCTCGTACTTGACGAGCGAACTAGAGTAGGATATCAGCTAGACCTCTCGGTGAGTTCATGATGATATAGGAAGGAGCATCATCGGACTCTGGAAAATACTTGACATCTGCGATTCCCTACCTTTCAGAGGGAAAGCATTCAGTCCCGCGATGGGCGCTTATCATTTTTACTTGAAGTTCAATCTCCGATTGAGGCGGCATGACGGCATTTGGAGAGACACGTGATGTCCACGTCGAATCCGTGTCCGTCGCCAGCCCAGAATGATAGCTTTCTGAATTGTGCCTTCTACAATAGCAACTATGGTGCGTCCTAGCCTTTATTCCACCAATTTCTACAATCTAATGAAATTTCTACATAGGCGGCTGCAGCAGTGTCCGATTCAGTGCCGATAGAGACCGCCCATGAGGACATGATCGTCAGTTCAATAACAAGCTTTTCCACCCCAAATTCGCGCGACTGAAATATCGTTTCTTTCTTTTGGTTGGGTTTCACCATCGTTTAGCATGACGCGCAGCTGGACTACTACGGCAAGCGTCTGGCAACCTGCTCCTCAGATCGAACAGTCAAGGTCTTCGATGTCATCGATGGCGACGCGCAGCGGTCGACGAACGGCCAGACATTAAAGGGGTGCGTGGATTATTGGTTTTGGTGTTGGGGTAGTTGGCGGCGAGAGAGAAACTAATGCGTGGTTGTAGACATACTGGACCCGTCTGGCAAGTCGCCTGGGCGCACCCGAAGTTTGGGCACATTCTGGCGTCGTGCTCGTATGATGGAAAGGTGTTGATTTGGAAGGAGCAGCAGGGACAGGGTGCTGCGTCGGGTAGCTGGATTAAAATCAAAGAACATACCCTTCATACTGCCTCAGGTGCGTCGTTAAATCTCTATACAAAACGTAGTGCTAACGAAAGTCTAGTCAACTCGGTTTCTTGGGCACCTCATGAATTGGGGGCTATCCTCGCATGCGCATCATCAGACGGCAAGCTCTCCGTTTTGACCTTCAAGAGTACGTCAATCTCTACTTAAGCCTCTGCACGATAACCTAATGAAGTCCTTTAGACGACGGTCAATGGGACGCCGACATCTTCAACGGCCATGCCATCGGCTGCAACGCCGTCTCCTGGGCCCCCGCCGTAGTCCCAGGCTCCCTCATCACCCCTCAACAACCCCAAGCCGCCCCCGGCCAAGCACCCCAGCAACCCGCCGCCACCGCCCCCGTCGTCAAGCGCTTCGCCAGCGCCGGCTGCGACAACCTCGTCAAGATCTGGGGGTACCGCGAGGACACCCAGTCCTGGGTGGAAGAGGAGACCCTCGAAGGACACACCGACTGGGTCCGCGACGTCGCCTGGGCACCCAACACCGGCCTCCCCCGCAGCTACATCGCCACCGCCTCCCAAGACAAAACCGTTCTCATCTGGACGAAGGACTCGCCCAGTGCGCCGTGGGTTAAGACTGCCCTTGATCCCTCGTCTGCGCTTACGTCGCCTACGGCTGGGACGCCCTCGCCGGCTGGCAAGTTCCCCGATGTGGTTTGGCGTGTGTCGTGGAGTCTTGCGGGGAATTTGCTTGCGGTTAGTTGTGGAGATGGGAAGGTTACCCTCTGGAAGGAGAACCTTAAGGGTAACTGGGAGTGTGTTAGCGATATGAACAGCTAGAGTGTTTATGGGCTTTGTTTTGTTTTCCTGTGAAATCTACTTTCCTCGCCGTTTTGTCCCTGATGTCTGCACTTCTCGTTTGCGGTCGACTCATGCACTGCGTAGTCTTCTCGGGTACCAGCAGAAGCGCTCAGAACTCCCGGGGTGCTCCCTCCTCGCGTTGGTCCATCTCACAAGGCTGGCTCTTAGTCTTCGCTTCGACTGCAACTCCCATGGTATGTTCGTGCCTTGTATAGCGCCGTGCAGTGTTGATGAGCCTTACGCAGTTCGATGTATCCTGAGATATACAAGTGCTTGAAATTGAACCTGCGATTTGAGGATGCGTCATTTGCCGTCTTTGCCGATGCCCTCGGAGTTGTTAGGCGATCAAAGTCGATCGGCGCTTGCCCGCGAACAGAGAGTTCTCCAAGGACCCTTCCAGCGGACGCGTTGTCCCTAGGCTCTTTCCCCATGCATTTAAAACCATCGGGCATGATTAAACTGTCCTTTCGAAGATAAGTACTCGGTGCCGCTTCGACTCACGTCATCGATGGATCCACAAGGTGCACACAATGTACCCATACCACTGCACCCTCCGCCTTGACCTTGAAGTACCTTGACGGGCGCTTCTGCTCAAAGTGGGCCCAATCCACTACTATGTAGACCTCGTTTTCTGACCTGGTTCAACGTCAGAATCACCCTTCCACCCCTTTGAGCGAGGTCGCAAGCATGAAGGCTGCCGAAGGCGCTGCATGTCGGTCCAGTCGGGGTCTTCCACCACCAATGAGCATAATGTAGACATGAGAAGTGGGCGGCTTCTTGATGCGCTCAGCCTTCAAGCCATCATAAAATGAGCATCAGGCGTGTTTCAGGAGATTCGGGGTGACATCGGCACGAGCACGTTGAGTTTACGTCTTACTCTCTCGTATAAAGAGGCTCAGTTCGCGGATTGATACTCTCGATTAGTGATCTAACCCCTCAACCAGCCCCTCGTCAAGTATTTTAGGTGCAGGGGAGGTGAGGTCAACATGGGCTCATTGTTCAGCCACGCGGGTATCGATATCGATGATGTACCGCTCACGTCGACACAGCTTGCTGCTGCCCTTGTATGCGGGCTTGGGGCGTTCATCATAGGCAGGTGGTATAGGGATCTCCAGGTACGTTTCCTGCTCTTCTCTAGCATATAAGAAACTTGAAGTACTGATTGGATCCGTTTGCTTTGGAAATCGTCATCGTAGTATTTGGACTTCCTACCGGGCTACCGCCAGCTCTTCTGCCCCATGTCAGCTTTGGGAGCCACACTCCCGAGTTCGAGCTGGAACCTTGGCTTGGATTGGTACTGGCAGTTCAGGGAGACTTGTGAGTTGTCATTCGCGGCATGTTGGTTTGTGCGGTGCACTGACTGTGGTTTACCTTAACCCCTATCCCATCCTGGGGTGGACTACCCTATCCAATCCGACTACCCTATCCTACGCGAATCTCCCATCCTGCAACGCCAATGCCCTGGACACTTGATACGATGCAATGCATGCATGCTCTCAGCCTACTTCAACAAAGAGCACGACATCGTATCTATTGTCCCAATTCTATCTGGCCCCTCTTTCTATGCCGTTGGTTCGTGGGAGGTGGCAACGCAGCTTCTTTCGCTGCCGAAGCCGAAGGAGTATAACATTGTCTTCAGGTACGTCTTGGAGTTCCAGGTGTCCGGCGTGGAGGTGGATGATGGTGTGCTGATGATGAGACCATGATAGTATCTGGGGTGACAATATGTTCACTGTGAGTGGTGATGATTGGAAGAGACATCGGAGGGTTGTAGCGCCTGCTTTTAATAATTCCCTGTAAGTCCCTCTTAAAATTTCCGTCGTTTTAGTGGAATGGGTTCTGACGAATTTAATTGATAATAGATACTCCCTCGTAGTTGAGGAAACTACCGCACTCTACAGGGAGATCCTCCATGAGGAAAAATGGGAGGACGCTTCTTCGGTGGTAGCACCCGACTTTCGTCGTATCACTCGAGACGTGAGTACCCTGCTTTTCACTCTCCTGTAGATCATTCCAGGAGAACTTACCAATATCTATCCAATGAACACGAACTCTAGCTCGCCTTCTTGATCATCGCGAAATGCGGCTTCGGATTCGACATGACCTGGAAAGGGTTCAAACCAGGAGGAGAAGGCGCAGGCGACGGCTGTATGGACGTCCAACAGGCGTTATACTACGCGACTGACATCTGGAACGTCATCAAGAGGATGTTCGTACCCAAGTGGGCTTACTATCTCCCGATTCCGAGGTACGTGCGTGTTCGGGGTCTCGTTATCCTAAAATACTTAAAAGTTACTGGCTTCCCGACTCCTCGAATCGGTCTAGTTTGCGCAAGTTGGATAACACCTGGAAGGCGTTGGATGCCTACCTCCACCAAACCGCGGCTTCTCGATCTGAGAAGGTCGTCGATGATCCGGAGGCTGCCTCAGACTTTTCGCGGTCGTCTTCAAGTGATGTCTTCACTAGGTTGGTCAAGTCGGTTGTGGGCCTCGGAAAGCTGAGTCTTTCCGAACAGGAACTGGTGAGTTCCAGGCCTCGAGATAGCTTCGGGATGGAGATAGGAGCTAATTGGGACTACGAAGATCGGAAATGTGTTTATGTTGATGAATGCTGGTCACGGTGAGTTGGATGTCCTCCTTCATCGTGCCTCTTTCGGAAGTTGTGTACTAAGGGCTTCCTGGATGGTAGATACAACTGGTATGACGCTGTGCGAGACTGTTGCACTGCTCGCACTTCACCAAGAGGAGCAACAGAAGGTATACGAGGAGATCTGTGCCGTGCTTGGAGACCAAGAGCCCGTGAGTCACGACAATACTAGTTTATAATGCATCCACTCAATCCACACAACCAGACGGAAGCACTCTTGAAGCAATTGTCCTATACTTGGGCTTGCGTTCTGGAGGCCACGCGCATGTACTGTTCGTAGCTCCCATTCTCTTCTTCTCGATCGTACGGGCTAATACGACTTACCAGCGCCTGCTTCGTCGCTCACCCGCATTCTTCCTGAAGACAAAGTCGTCAAAGTCCAGCGTCCCTCTCCCAAAGAGATCGTCCTGAAGAAAGGAACTCTCGTCATCATCGATACCGTCAGCATCCGTAAGTCCTACCCCACTCACTCCTTCGCTCTGAATCTTACACACCGTGTGTGACCCTCCAGACCTCAACCCGCACACCTTCCCCGACCCCCTAAAATACAAACCATCCAGATGGATCGGTGTGCCCGAAAGCCAGGTAACAGTATTCGGAACGGGACCGCGGGCCTGCATCGGGCGCAAATTCGCACAACTCGAGTCGCTCGCGTTCCTCGCGCTTTTGCTGCGCGAGTGGCGTGTGGATTTGGCGCTTAACCTTGACTCGGAGGGCCCGGAGGAGACGAGGGAGGAGTATGTTGAGCGTGTGTTTGGGAAGGCGGGGTTGAATGGGTTTGTGTTTGGGATTAAGAGTAGGATTCCTATTCGCTTGACTCGGCGACGTTAGTCAAGATAATCCCTCGATGACTATTGATTATTTATTGGATTTCCGATTCGCTCTAGCACTATGCATACCGGTGCGATTAAGCGCCCGTGGCATCTTTCGCGGCTTTTCTATACCTTCGGACTTCGACGAATGAATAATGCTCATTCATTCAGAGGAGATTGACTTCAGTCTTCTGGGGTGCGAGAAAACTCAAGGACACCGTATCATTGTATTCAACCCCTTGACCGATTCAGAACATGTACATTACGATACTCCTACACAGTCGCGCAGGGCTTGTAACGCGTCGCATCCCCATCGGAAACTGACCAGTGAGGTTGAGTTCGGAAGTTGATCGCCTGCATGCTGTGCTCTTCATAGACGGTGGTGAGAACGGGAGCGCTCTTTCCCCCGTAGATATGGATGTTGAGGACTAGTCGTGAGCACTGCCGGGGAGTGTTCTTTTAGAAGGTTGCAGCGAAGGGCAGCCTGAGTATGATGGTACGTACCGCGCATGAGAAAATAACAATGGACCATCTAGGGGATAGTGTGTAAGTAGTGGCACACAGAAATGAGCGTTGTAAAGGACCGGCACTCACGGGTGGTACGTGGTGAAGTAGAATCCGACTCGGTAAAGGTTAATCGTCGCGCCCGTTACCAACGCTACGAACATTCTGGGACGTGCAGTCAGTGAGTAGGACATCGTGGGTAGTCACAGAGGCACGAACGCGAAGAAGTAGATGGAACCATCCCTGGTAAAGATAGCGAGAAGGGGGGAGAAATTCGCGGAGTCCTTTAACATTGCGATAAAGTTGGACCCTGCTGGCGAAGCCCCCATCACCGACGCGCGAAACCTTGCGACTGTGAAAGCAAAGAACATGACTAAAGGCCAGATTAATGAGAGAGCTTCTCAAAAATATAGGATGAGTATGTACGCACACGCAACGATAATACAAGGAATCCTAAAACCCAACTTCAATATGACCAGATGCATTGAGAATGGGCGAACGCCAAACACACCATGCCAGCAATGCTCGAGTTATGTCCGGAGTTGAGGATAGACATCCGGTAACTTGAGGAAATGGCAATACCATAACTCTCTTAGTAGTCCAGCTCATTGTCCACCAGGACACGTAGAATTCCAACTGGGCTAACATGAGCGTCGATTACAATTCTAGGCCGTGGGTGAGACTCACGGCGAATTCCACTGTACGGTCCCAGGAGCACGGCGAAGGGATTAGGCGCCTGACAGGGCAAGACGGGAGAGGGAGGACGTACCGCATGCAAGGGTGGTAAAGAAAATGAGGACTGTGCGTGGGGATGTCAATGATGGTCTGTCGATTCGAATAACAGATACACACTTTTCTTGCTTCGACCGTAGAGCGCATAGATTCTCAGAATGGATATAATGTTGGCCGTTGTCATATAGAGGATATCTCCAGCCCTGTGGTCAAGACCTTTAGTAATGCTACGTTGGAGCGCCGGTGACTTCTAACTTACATTCCATACCAGCGGAAGTAATGACGACAACTGCATGGTTATGAACGGGCTTATCGCAAGAGGAAATGACATGGAATCTTACAACTAATGGAGATGAGGTAAAGACACTCTCAATGGAGCTATAGGAGAACCGTACCTCGAGGGTATGTCGGTTTGTCTCAACTGTTGAGGCATTAAGCTTTACACCAACACGTCTAATAATCGCGGGAAGGGTTGCTTACCTACGAGGTTGACCCTAGTCAGGGTACTTCAGTACTACAGGCAATTCCGGATAATGTCGACACACTTACAGTAGGTAGATCAAGCCCCAGTACCTTCCAATGAAGTAGGCGACCTTAGACAAGTTCCATTTTGCCCTGGAGAGGATAAGAAACGGTGAGTAGTGATTACGAGAAGTGATTCTATCGGTTAACCTCCATATAAACTTTGCCTTAGTCACGGCAGAAGAATTAGAGACAACCAGCGGAAGTGAAAGGGTGGCTACCCACTTCAGGGCCAGTGGTATAAGAGATATCACACACTAGAAACGTTATCGCGGCCACTGGCGAAGACCGAGTGTCAGCACTACACCTCGCAGATAATCAAGTCGAACGAACGGGCTTACCCTTGGAACATCGAGAGGCTTGCGCAACTTTCATAAACTCAATCAGCGCCTCAAGGTCGGCCATTGAGGAGATGTTTCTCTCTTATCTTGGAGGGATGGGAGACCCTTTCGTCGTATGGCAAATCCTTATAGTAACGAGGGAGTCCCTACAACACGTGAGCGATGGAAATCTGCATCAACGGAGGCCTACGAGTAAAGACAATTATGTACAGAAGACGTGTAAATGTAGGTCCAAGCCAGCTCCAAGTGTAGGTACACTTGTTATGTAGGCCATCTGGAGAACAACATCACTTCTCTTAGTGCTTCGAGCTATCAGAAAGTAGTCAGCGCCCAGTGTCAACTTTACAGGACTTGATTAAGCACCGCCTCAAGTGGGTCGTATTGCTCTTGGGAAGCATAATCTTCCAACCGAGGGATAGATTTCCCAGAGGAAGCACAGGCCCGGTGCTTGACAGTACTGTACAGTCTGTACACTCATCCTGAACATCCCGATCACATAACGACTTAACCGTCGCATGATCGTCCACAGTCGGAAGCATTCTTTCATTACAGTACATCAGCATTCGCTGTACAGATGCAATTATTGTTTTTACATTACGCCATTTAGTTTTGGACCCGTGTGGGCTTTTGGCAGACAAAAAAGGCCAGCGGTGTAAATAGCTGACGATCGGAAACGTCAACGCGTTTATCGTCGCATAGCATAGTGAGATTCTTACCTTGTGCTTTCCTGCATAGATGAGAGTGGTGGCGCATTCGCGACTAATCCCTTTCGAGACGGGACCCGTCGAGCTGCCCAACGCGATCTCAAGCGGCTCATACCAATTCGAATTCCGTGCGGACTCTGCTGCCGCCAGATCCCCGCACTCGAGGACGGTCATATTTGCACTGACCATAGCATCAATGGTGCCAGCAATCGTTCTTTCTTGTATTTCTCGGTGTCCGACACCTGCTTGCTCCTCGATGATATGTGCTAATCGCCGGTGATCCTGGCTGTTAATATCCAATGACGGGGTCCAGCACCAGTCATAGATCGCCAGCTGGAGAGGAGTCAATTCATCGTTGGTCAAGAATCCCTAATATTTATGGTTACCTTTCCGCCGGGCTTCAACAAAAGCGAAATGCTTTTCATGGTTTCATGGATCTTTGGAACAGTTCTGAGTCCTTCAATCGAGTAAATGGCATCGAAAGACGCGGGAGCGAAGTGCGAAGATAGTGAACCGTAATCTACTGACCCAGTCGTGAGAACCATTAGCTACTCGACCTGAGAAGGAGGACATACCGCAAGCAAAAGAAACACCGTCGGCTTGTGCTGTCTGTGAAACAGCAATTGCTCGGGATATCTGCGCAGAATAGTAGGCTCGACATCAACTGTTAGCTCCGACGAGATAGCAACTTACCTTTTCGGGGTCGGAGTCCACCCCCACAACCGTTACATTTGAGAACTGCGCCAATTCAAACGCGGCGTCACCGGATTGGCATCCTATCTCCAACGCCCGCATTCCTGGCTTCAACTCTAATCTCATGAACAAGTAATGTTCGTGTCGAGCGAGGGACACAGCGAAACTGTCGCCTCTGTAAACTCGAGAAAAGTGGAAGTCGCTACGTGCGATGGACATGTCGAATTTGTTGTTGGATACCTGTGCGAGGCTTGTATTTGTACCCCAATCGCTCTTCATTTGTCGACACCCATCCGAATTGCTGTGCCTTGATGTTTCTTTGCCTCCGACCCTCCGCTGTACGGAGAGCTCCCTACAGCTCCCCGATGCATTCTGATATTATCTCGAGTGTCGTACTTCGTAATGCTGGGCTTCTATCGCTTTGACTCTCGACCATTATTGTTTTATTAGGGTGGAGTCCAGTTCTCTTCCTCAATAAGTAAGTATCTACAATGTATCAGATCTGTAGAGTGGATCCCGGAAGGGATTGATTGACAATCGACAGCAGTGATGAAAGGCGTGCCAACGATCCTGGAGAGGACGACACAGGGCACGGAACGAAGCCAGAGATAAAATGAACTGACGCGATCTCGTCGGTGGGCAGTTTGTGGGCCATGGTATACTTACAGGTCTAGCGTGCAAACAGCGGCCGTAATATCGAACTCAATGTCGGGGTCCGTGTGATCAGTGGAATATTCGCATCGAATCATGGTAAACGCTGACGATATGTTACTCGAATATTCGATTGACACATTCCACCCCCAAACGGCAGAGACGTGAGGCCCTCCCCTGATGGGTAGTCAGTCACGACTCGCAACCACCAACAAATCCGTGGACAGTGAGGTGTACACGTTACCAGGCATATCAGCCGGGAGCCCAAGACTGCAGGCTCCAAGGCTCGTCTCGCATGGATAGGCGAGTATAGTACCTGAAAGTCCGAAGACTAGTACTAGGCCTGCGTTGTGGTTGTGGATGACACTGGCGAACAGGAATATGAAGCGAGAACCACATTTTAATTCCGAATTGTATCTTTTCTTGGTACAAGTAGACTAATCCCAGGAGAAAGAAGTATAGATCGTCCATCTACGAGCTAAAGATAGACTCGAGTGGCACCAGCCTAATTGCGCGCTGTCAACTGGATCTCCAAGTCCTTCGAAACGCCGAACGAGAGGCCGACAAGAGAAGTCTCGGACATAACGCGAGTCGCAAATCCTTCTCTAGTCTCGCCATCCCTGAGAATCACATCCAACTTCCAGTCCCGAAGGAGGAGAGTCAAAAAGGTCAATGCCTCGAGGTGCGAGAATTTCCGGCCAATGCAGGCGCGAGTTCCAAAGCCGAACATAGAGTGCTGGGACTCAGGTACTCCGTACCACCGTGAAGGCATATACGCCTCAGGATTCGGGAAGCTGTGAGGATTATGGTCTGGAAAAGAAACGAAGATCAGTCTGTCGCCAAGGAACTCAGTGCCTAGGCGAAACGTACGAATGCTAACCATATCAATAGCTACCATAGTCCCTTTTTTGATAAGGACATTGGCAGGCTCCGGGTTCTGCACCTTGACGACGGTGTCTTCATCGACCACTCTAATCAGGGCTGTTCCTGGAGCTGAATGTGGTTTATGTAAGTATAACATGCATACTCGGTAAGAAAACAGCTCACGATAAATCCGTCCTGCCTCAAGGAAGCAAGCTAGGGTGTGAGACAGTTGCTGGATGGTCTCAAAAGTCTGACAGAGTCCACGGGTGACGGATTAATGTTTCATGGGTTTGACACAAACATTCGTCAACCTTACCGGGTCCAGGTCACCAATCTTCTCCATAATCTCCTGGTAGGCTTTCTCCTGCTCTTCTTGATGGATGGCAAGCAAAGCAATAGTTTCAGCCAGTACTATTCCGGTTGTTTCTGTATCGGATGAGCCTCGTCTAAGCTTTAGAATTGGGAAATAGACACACCATGGCCAGCGAACATCAACACGAAGAGATTTCCAATCTGGCAGGGGTGAGTGAGTACGATGTAGACGGTAAGGTTAAGCTCTCAATGACATACAACTTCTTGAATGTCAATTGAATATTTGTCGAGACCCATCGAGGAAGCAGCTAACTTCGTAAACACGTCGCCTCTCGAGTCTAAGATGGTTGGGTCGCTCGAAATCTCCTTACTCCGAGACTGGATAGATTCCTTCATGAAATCCATAAGGGAGGCTTTTGCATGAAGAATGTTCTTGAGGCTGAAGGAAAGGTACGGTCAGGCGGCTAGAAGTGAACTAAGTAACTATATCCTTACTACTGAATCGGGAAGCGGAACATCCAATCCGGGATTAAAAGACAAGGAAGGTGGCTTTTGAGGACAGTGTCGAACGTGGCGTGCAAATCGATCCCTTCTTGCATCTCAGTCGCCACCCACTTCAAAGGAATGCCAAAGCCACATCTGGAGATGGTCAGGAAGGCGGTCTTCATCCCACGATTAGCGTTGCGATAATTTTCGAGCAATTGAGATGAGACGTACATGATGCGTGAGCGGTGTCACGTTCGGTACAGTCACCACGGACTTCCCATTCCACCCTTCTGCTTCAGTCAATTCCCTGTAGATAGAAGTAGTCTCTTGAACGACGAGCTCATATCTAAATAATAAATCAGGGCTAAGCCAGGCACTGCGATGATTTGAACAAAGAAGGTTACGTTTTTGGATTGAAAGCAGGGCCCATCACCCTTCGGTGACGCTTCCAGACATCTCCGCTGACGGTAAAGAGATTGGGACCCCATAGCCTTGAGAGCCATAAGGTGTAAGTCATCTAGTCATGCGTCAGAAATTCGCGCTCACTCGAAGGCATCTGCAAAGTCTTCCGGTTTGTGCATTGCGAGCTGACCTTCGCGTCCTACGATTTGCTGAGCGACATCAAGATGACCGACGTACAAGATCGGCTTGCCGCCGAGGATGGGAATGATCGGCATAACGTCGCGAGTCTTGTTAAAATATGCTGGAATGCGTTAGGTCTGGCGAGGCTGGGGAGCTTGTGCACCTTACAAGTTTTCCTCTTGTTCCAATACCAGATGATACCCAGGTTCCACCATGATGCGGGCAAGACTGCTCCTGGTATAGAGAGAGGGGCGAAAGCTGGCGTGTATCCTGGAAGAAAGCCCATGTCCTAGTAGAGGAACGCTCTATCACCTAAATACCCGATAAAAGATGTTATTCTTACCTTCCAACGTTTCAGGTAGCGACCCCCAAGGTATGTAACCGAGACGCAGAATAGCGCTATCCATATCTCCTTTGCACTTGTGGAGGAGCTATAGAAGTGGGACACCATTGCGAATGAAGGTTTGAGGGGTGGTTACCGACGGGGTGGGGGTTAAGCCTTGAAGCTTGAACGTTTGAACCCTGGGAGTACCTTGACACCGCTGGACCCACGTATCAAAGAACTTCGCCGCTCGAGACACACAAATCAATGGTAGGGATGTTTACTTTACCCTTACTTACATCTGTCTAACAAGTCACTCTCTGCTCTGGTCTAGCAGCGATGAGGTAAGCTCCTGCCAGTACTGTCAGCAACTAACTACTTGATCTGTCGTTCAAGCAATCAATAGCTGCACTAGAAAAGACTTGGCGAAAAGCGATAGGATTCAGTGAAGACTAGAGTGTTGTAGCTAGGAATAGACCAGCTAAAGACTGAGGAAACTACGCTTACAAGTCTACTCTATATATACTACTTGAGTTGTATGTACTTGTTTGGTCCATGGTCTGTGCCCGCGCAGTGTTTTGTTCAAGCTGGCGGGGTACGGTCCCATGACTCATCACGTGTCTGAGTCACGTGACATCCTATATTACTAACTACAAGTCTCGTCGAGAAAAGGAAAAGAAAGGTCTGAATTCATGACATCAAGAAAGGTCTGATTCATGACATCACCCCCCCCCCCCCCCCACCCCTTAAGGTTCACGTCCTCGTGAACGTCATTGCATCTAGGGCACCACCCTTTTCGGCACTTTGGGAGGTTTTCCGGCATTGGTTCGGCAGTCCCTTTGGGTCGACGGTTTGGGGAATAGGAGGCCTTAAACTTCCCAGCAGTCCAGTCGAAGATTCTTCCAGAAGGTTCGGTGAAGTTCTCGTAGGGTATGAATCGGAGTTTCTTGGTGATTCGCCGAGGTGCGGAGGGATTGTCTCGATGAAACTTTTCTACGAGTTCGGGAGAATTCTTCAGGTTGGAGGCATCTTCCCACGTCCTCTCTTCCTTGGGGTATCCCTTCCAGTTCACCAGGTACTGCAGTTTTCCCCTGTAGAGGTGTATGGCCTTCCAAGTCTTGGGGATGGCAAGTTCGTAGGCAGAAGCTCCGACCTTCTTGGTGATCTTAAAGGGTCCATATCTCCGATCGTCGAGCTTCTTGGCTGGCCGCTGCGTATTGATGTTGGTTGCCTCAAGGTACACCATGTCGCCCACTCGGTAGGGCCTGGAGGGTTTTCGTTTCCGATCATAGTAATGTTTCATAGTCTCGGCAGCTTGTTTTAAGGCTGCTTCGGCTTCCTTGCGGATGTCTTTAATCTCGGTAACAAAGTCCTCTGCAGCCTGATTCCGTATTGGGCCTCTTGGTTCGCCTCCCTTGTATGGGTGTTGACCGTAATTCAGGTAGAACGGACTGTACCCGGTTGATTGGTGGATCTTGTCGTTGTAGGAGAATTGGGCCAGAGGGAGCCAATCAGCCCAGTCGTCTTGTCTTTGGTTGATGAAGATCCGTAGGTACTGCTCTATCTCCTGATTGATCCGTTCCGTCTGACCATCAGTCTGGGGGTGGAATGCCGTGGAGGGGTTTCCTTCAATGCCGAGGAGTTTCATCAGATCCTTCATGAAGTTCGAGACAAATTGTGGGCCTCGGTCGCTGATTACTTTTCGGGGGAGTCCGTGGTGTTTGAACACGTAGTCCCGGAAGTGTTTCGCTGCACCTAGCGACGAGAGCTCCACATTGGTGGGAATTGCCTCTATCTTCTTTGAGAATCTGTCGACCACTACCATGATGGCATCGAATCCTTTCGACTCTGGGAGGGGCCCGATTAGATCTACCGACACTATCTCCCATGGGAGAGAGGGGACCTCGTTTGGTCTGTAATGGCGCAGCCGGGACGGTTCGACGGGGTTTAGTCCGTTGACACATGCCACATCCATCGATATAGGTTCGGATGTCTGCTTGGA